CTACCTTCGAGATGCTTCCATCCTTGTTCAGGGTGCCGTCAATATTGTACAGCGGAATGGGTTCTTTTAACTTCCGCGTCTGCACCTTGTTTTTGATAACGAATCGCTTGTTGATAAACTTTGTGGTGGCTCCGCTGTCCACCATAGCGATTATGTCCTTGTGCCGTCTTTTCCCTTGGAGTCGAACTGGGATGTGAAAGTGCTGGGACCCCTGGTCCAACTCATACACTATTGCAGTCGACAATACATCATATTTATTACAAGATATACGCGGCCCGACGCGTGCGGCACGAAGCGCGGACCGGATCAAAAACCCTCCTCCTTCATCGCCCGATAGTGCTCGAGCTCCTCGCGCATCGACTTCACCTGTGCCATTAAGTCCGCCAGCTCCGATTGCTCGGATTTCGCTGAAGCGGCACTTATACTTGCCGAGGGTGTCGTTGTGATGGGGGCGCTTGTCGCAGCCTGGGTGGAGCCCGAGGCAACCGTAGCCCGCGCGTCGGCGCGTTTTGTGTAAGGCTTGTCCTTACAGTTGGGGCACTCGAAACGTCGGTACCCTTGCTTCCCACAGCCAAAGCAAGTGCCGGGGAAGTCTCCTTTTCCGACGGCCGCATTGATGCTGGCCAAAGCTCCATGTGACGAGGGTGCACCACCACGTGCCCCACCGCGACCTCGACCTCGGGCCGAGAAGAAATTGTTCAACTCGGGCCGACGGGCCCGGCTGATGTCGAGGATCTGCTCGACCTCAGTGGCTCGCTTTTCAGCGGCTCGCCACGTGGTGAAGGTTTCGAGCTCGATCTTGCAATATACGCGGGAGGGGATGCCGCTCAGATACTTGTCGCGTAGCTCCAGGTCCCCATACCCAGAGCGATCCGCCGGACCCTTGAACAGCGCGGAGAACTCCGCAGCGGTGCGTTTTTCGCGGACCGATTTGTCCGCACAGAGCTTCGCCAGCTCCACTTGTGCTGCTGCCGCATCGTCGAGATTTCCGAAGCGAGCCTTGAAGGCAGCGGTGAAGGCCGCTTCGTTCCTGAAGGGGGTTGTAACCCCTTGCACACCCATCTGCACCGATGCGAGTTGGGCGAAGTAAGGCGTGGCCCAGGCGCGAGCGTCGCCATCGAGCAGGCTCAGCGTAACTTGTACCTTAAGCTCAATGGTCGTCAACGACGTGTTGATCAACCAGTAGATACGAAGTTGCGACAAGAACCTGTCGCATTCGATGACGGTTTTGCCGTCATAGCGGAGGGGGAGGGGGAGCTTCAGGGTCTCCTTGTCGGGGGTGGCTGCAGGGGACGACATTATCGGCGTCGGGGGGGACGGAGGACGTTGCGGGGGCGGAGGCGGCTGTGGTGGCCCTCTGCTGGTCGAACTTCGAGAGGAGCGAGTGCTCGAGCGGCCTCTCGGCGGAGTCGGCGGTGAAGGCGCCGGAGGAAGTTCGGCGGGGGGGTTACGTACGTCAGGGACTGCTGACGCGGGGGCGAACGCTGTCGGCGAGGCGGACCCAACAGAATCCTCGGACTCGGACTCCGAGACTCCTTGTTCACCCTCACTCTCCTCAGGCTCAGGCTCTGGTGCAGGGTCTGGAGGGAGATCTCCTCGCGCTTGACTGGACTCGGCGACAGTTTGGGGAAGGCGGGAGGTAGGGGAGACAGGGCGAGAGTGCCGCGAGGCGGATCGAGACGCAAGGGTGCTTCGGGGTCCGAGCGGGTGTTGCGCTCGTCAGATCGCCTTGTAGCGTGGGTAGTCCTCTGGGATTGATCGGGGGGTTCGGTTCGGGCACGGCTGTTGTTCGCAACGGTAGATGATAGTCTCAGGGCCATCTGGGATGTAGACGTCGATAAGGTCCTGAGAGTCGAATGCGTGAACTTGGCCTTGGCAGGCAGCCACGTTGGATGGGGGGAGGAAGGGGAGGTGCGTGTACTAAAATGGCCGTACTACACTAGCTTACGCTACAGCGCCCGAGAAAACCCTGAGGTTCGCAGTTCACATGGGGCCCAGTACTGCTTTTGGCTAGTATGCAGCAGGAACCTAGTCCACGTGTCCGTGAGGACAAACACCGCCCACTGAAGTGCAGGTGTTGAAGAGTTCGTTCCTCTAGGGGTGGCGATGTATGTAAGGCTACCTACGTATCATATGTACCATAGGGTATCGTAGGGGTGCGCACCACCCGACCTGTGGGAAAGGAAAGTGAATGTGGGGAGTCCCGAGAAGACGCCGGCAGCTTGGGGAGTTTCGACCTAATGTCGTGACTTGAGGTCAAGCGACTGGGGAATACCTGAAGGCTGGGGGCGTCCGACTGATTCTTACCGAAGCGATGGTGAGCAGCACTCAAACCTAAGGCTAGGGACAAGATAATATATTAGTTAGGTAAGAAAAAGGAATACAAGGGATGCTTACTGACCTAGGGACAAGAGGTCAAAACTGAGATCCCTAGGGCAGCAGAGGCCGGCTTATATACAGGGGAGGATAAGGGCAGGCTGCGCACTGATAGGCGCCAAGCCCCTCTGGGCCCCGATACAGCTCTTTTCGGCAGTTGCATCCCACCCAGCACTTCGACTCAATCACCCAACACTTTGACTTTGCCTTCAACGCTCTTCGACATCTTCGACGGTGCACGACGCTTATTCGAAGCCCGGCACGGTCGTCCCGATGCCTTGCACATAGATCTCGGGACATCTCCCGCATTCAGCGGACAATAGGGCCACTTGACGCTGTTTGTCCAAGCGCGCGCATCGCTCAGTGCCACACCGACATAGCCGGTCTTTCCTGATTAGGTATCAAACCTCGTGGCATGCCTTCAACGACGGATACCGGTCCGAAGTGTCCATATGTTTCTCTTCATCTCCGCATTTGGCATGACGTCACTCTACCGATGGACTTGATACATGCCACTCGGTGAGGCAGCTTTGTGCGGGACAATGCAAAGCCCCTTGTACTAGTGTGCCACTCTCGATAGTCATAGCATCCTATGTGTAGTATAAAATCTGTCGTACTTCTCTCCAAAAATACAAGATCCGGTTCCCCCCCAAGTTCAGAGCTCATAAGTTGAGTTCGCCCTGCGTTTAAGCCTTCAACTGCGTCACTTCATCCCTTGCTGCATAACCTCAAAACCTCATCCACTGTGTTTACTCGTCGATACCGTCTCGACGAACCTTTTGACTTCGGCTATTGTCGAAGAAACTGCATTGCATCTCAAACCGCGTCCTAGCTAAGTACACCCTATTGAATTGTGTCTCTTCCCTCTACGATACATCGAAGAGCTCTGCTGAGCTTTTATCGTCCCCACTAACCACCCACAGCCTCCGAGTAGCTTCGACGACGTGTCAAGCCACCTTGTACCTTCCCTAGCGTTCGTAGCCTTTTCCGAGGGCATTTCTCATGTTCACTCGAACCGCGGGACACCTTGCTGCTAACTCCCCTCTCACTAAGACAATAACCCGCCTCTAGTCCACCTAGGTTGTACCCAGGTTAGGGGTTAGGGTTTTGTAGATCGCATCAGCGCACTGGTCCATGCGCAGCTGGTCCGTGCACAGCATGCTGACGCGGCCCCGGGGGCCGGTGAGTCAGAGCGGCTGTGTCAGCAGAGCCCGAGCTGTGCCGCGCACTGCCGTCCTATCTAATCTGATCGTACAGTAGATAACGACTTGTCCGTTCAAGCATATAGTACAGAGGTCGCGGGTTCGAGCCCGCAAAAAGGAAAAATTAAAAAACGGCTAGACGCCGTGCCAACTCGTGACAGCAGATATACTTCGTTACTTTTCTGGATCTATTCGCTTGATCTTTGTGACACTGATGGATGGATTATGCACAGCGAAGTAATAATGAATACGTGACATTCATTCTCGACATTCGAGAGTGTCGCGCAATTGATCCATTCTACTATCTACACAGCTTACCCTGTAGAGCGCCACGGCGAGTAATATTATCAACAGTAGGAAGGAAAGCTTACCAGCAACACGGTTTATGTATACCCCTTTCTCTAACTTCTCCGTCTGAACTGATAGATCATGTAGTTTCCCGATACAAGCAAGTATTTCTCTTACTGTACTTCATAGTAACTCTGTAGTAAGTTTTGTTCTTCACGCCTCTATTTCCCGACACCTGCAATGTGATTTATTCATCTTTGCTCGTTTACAGAGTACACAAGAAGCGACATGCATATTCTGAACCATTGAACAACAGGGCAGTAACTCTCCGTATGCGGCCAAAGCTATCATTTGCGGCCGCGTTCGGCTCTCTTCAGGGCACTCTTCCTCGAACTCCTCGAACTTCTCGAACTTCTAGATGATGACCGGGATGAAGCTCTTGATTGTCCTCTGTGCTCCGCCTCGTAAAATTGGATCAGAGTGCTGAGTACTGAAGTTATACCGAAGGACAGGGGGATATCAGGGAGCAGTACTCACGGTTCATAAATCCCGTGTGATTTTCCATCGTAATTCGACAACCTGCCATCTGCCCATTCTGTTAGAGGAGCAGGGAGTTCAATGTTGTTGAATTGGTCCATCCCGAGAGCAGCTGACATCCAGGAGAAGGCACGGAAGGAGGGGAAGTCCTTTGCATAGTAGGTTGGCGACATATACATGGTGTTCGCATCCTCCCCGCGAGCGAAGAAGATTACATAATCCTCAGTGGCGAGCACTGCGAGTTTGCAACTTTCGTATTCAAGCATCTGTGTCCATATCTACGCAATGAAATTATCAGCATGATCGACTAACCACTACACTGGTTCAGTCAAACCGACCTGGCACAGGAGACCGGTCTGTGTGTCCACTTCGGTCTTATCTGCAGGCCAGATGAAGCGGGTTGCTAGCCCACGCGGAGGCTTTATATTGGTATTCATGTCCTGCAATTGGCTGAGGACATGCCCATCATCATCTCCATCAACGATTTCATGCAAAGCTGCCACGGTCTTGACTTCTATTGTCAGTACGACACGTGGCTTGTTCTTGCGACTCGTGACCGTGCTTTTCCCCTCCGAAACCCTTGTCCTCTTGGCCGGCTTCGTCTCTGTCACAATAAATTTATCTTCAATCAAGATTCTATCAGGGATAACCGGCCCATCGGGTGCAGAGGACAGATAGGGATAGGGGAATTCTTGATCAAAGGTTGCCCATGCGACTCCTGCTTTCTTTGCGAGTATGCAACGAACGCATGCAAGTGCGGGTTCAAGGAACCTTCTGATGCCCCAGTTAGCAGAGTCCTTCTCACTCCAGATCTCTTTGGAGAGTTCTTGGCATTTGACATAGGGGTTAATTCTGCTGAAATTGAATGTATTTTCGTCCGATGTTTTGTCCTGCGGCATATCCTGCAGCATTTTCATGCTACACGTGTCGAGCTGTGTCACAAGCTCATTAACAAATACAATGTATTTGAGCTGCTGTTGCTCCGCAAGAGCCTTCTCCGTAATGTTCAACTTCTTCGTGGATTCCAGTGCTCCTTCTACATAGACTTTTGGTGACGCCGGTCCTATCATGCAAAGATAGTCCATGATAGTTCTACCAGTGAACGGCCTTTCATAGTCGAAATCTCTTCGCGTTAGCTTTGCGGGCTGGTGCGTCACCTGAGTACTAGCTGTGATTGCCTGATCTTGACGCACATCAGGTAAAGAGAATGGTATAGGAGGAGGACGCTGTGACGAGTCACTAGCAGCTTCTGTCTTTGAAGAGGCTCTGGGGGTGGGAGATCCGAGCTGCGACTCGGGCCATGAAACAGTTGCGCGCGGCTGCCGAGGAGTGCGCGGACTGTCACACTGTGTCGACGGAGGAGTAGTCATTGCTTGAGCAGCAATGTACAAGGATTATGAGCTGATATTGTGCGAGTGTGCTCTCTGAGGGTTCTAAACCTGTGCCATTGAGACTCATGTATTTTATACTCCAGTTATGCCTATTTCACAAGCCTTGTGCGCCGCCACCAAGCTTCCTGCGTAATCACATGGAACAAGACTTGCCCTAGAAGATGGAGCCATCACATCCGATTTGATATTGCAGACGCGATATTTTCGATTTCGCCATAGCGACGATTATTCATGGTCAACGAACACATGCCATCAGTTCCGATCTACTCCGTCATGATCTCTTGCAATTGTGTCTGTTTGATCGCAGTTGTAAATGATGTGACTTATCTGATAGTATTTGTGGCGCACTTGTTCGCACATACACGCCACGTTGAAGACGACTATATTGATATATAAAGGCCCACATCTTAGTGAGACTATCTCATACTACGGGTTCAGAGGTCACTCGCATCTACATCATGTCTACCCAGATACAGATCCTTCGATTCCAGGATCTTTTCGATCGAGATAAATACTACGTTTTCAATCGGGTCGCAGTCGAAAACGATGTCACAAATGATACACTGACTACCATCCATCCATCTCAAGCCAAATCACACTACATCTTTCAGCACGATCGTGACTCAACTGAGTCTCCGGAGTCACTTCCGAGTCTCCCGTATCCTGGAAGGCTCAATTGGCCGGGGCTCCTCAAATACGCCTACCCTGGCATCCTGACGTCTCATCTCAGCAGTCATGGCCACCAGCAGTCACTTGATGTTATCTGCAAGGTCGTTTCCATGAGCTATAACAACAACAGAATCGCACATGAGCTCTTTTTTTACAAGAAACTGGAGGATCTTCAAGGTCGCAAGATACCTGAATGCTTTGGAATGTTCGAGGGACAAATAAATGGGGAGCGGGTGGAATGTCTTGTGCTTGAATACTGCGGTGAGCCCGTCGAGGACTTTCGTACTACTTCATGGGAATTCAGGTGAGTCTATCCGCCAGCGGGAGCTTCTCCTGTGCACGGACGTCAATTGATTTTTACTATGACCATTGCAGGGAGGAGCTGGTGGATATCGTCCATGAGCTACATGCACAAAACATACACCATGGCGGTTTATATAAAGAAAACATATTATACCGCCAACGATTGGAACCAGACGGCGCTACCGCGTCGATTGAAGCACCATTGAGTGGCAAGCACATTGAACCGGTCCTCATCAATTTTGGAAACGCATCCCTCGGTTTTCAGTGTGATGCAATGAAGACAAACCAAAGGATCCAGCTTCGCGTGGAAGAGCCTCAGGCCAAGGATTTGATAGGATGCCAGCAATTGCTTCGTTTTGCCCGCAGCATCTCTGCATGGTATCCGTGTGAGACAATTTCCTCAGACATATCACACACAGTCACTCATGACGCTACATGTTAGCTACATTCAAACTGCAGAAATGCTCTGTTCCGATAGAGCTGAGGGATTCCCCTATAGAAAAATTAATCGACGCGGTGAAGGAGAGGAGATATTACTCCGATGAGGAAATCAGAGCGTTGGACGTGAACGTAATTGAGAAAGAACGACGCCAAGCACTGGAACGCTACGACAAGTGGATCAGGACGTGGAAAGCATGCGAGAAATATTCAGACGGAAGCCAAGCATCCACGTTGTAGACTTTCATAGGCGCAATCAGGCTAGTTAGATGTTAACAGAAGGGCTGATCGGCCTATCTACCGTTCGAATTGGGGTGACAACTACCGTCCTAGTACTACTTGCACGCAAAGAACACACAGCTGTGAATCCCGCAATAAATCTTAACACAAGAAGATGACGGGCACGTGCACCATATCAAACATTGTCCCTAAATACCGAACCGCTAGTTCGCTGCTGCCTTGGAACATAAGGTTGCAAAGGTAGTATTTGAACATCATAAATTTGAGTGAGAAATCGTCACCAAACTCTGCCGATTAGTGATTTGCGAAGACGTAGACAGAATGCAATGCGCATCGCGCTGCTTCATGCTGCAGGAGCTGGACTCGTGTCTAGTCGCTACTATGAACCGCGCGTGGGCAGTGCTTAGTCCGAGAGATGGGACATGGGAGGAAGCCCGGGGAAAGCAGCGCTCGTGGAAATGATGTGGTGCTGTAGCGACCGGAAGAACGGTACTTATGCGCGTTTCACTCGCAATTAAATTGACTCGTTGGTCTGCGCTGCCGCACGACGTATCATGTTCGTGTCAGTGATTCTGGTAGTACATCGGGTAATCAACGTTCAACAATCAAGGGGTTTCATTCCTGTGGCATGTCATCCTCATATGCGAACGGCGTAACCCGCGCAAACATCTCTTCTCCCCCGAACGACAGGGCGTTGCCCTCTGTCAACCGCGCCTTCACATCCTCCTCCACCTCTGGCGCGAGCTCATTATTGCGCTTCCGCGTTACCTGAATACATGTCGGGCTCGCAGAGGCCGTTAGGCTCTTCTCCACCGACTTATGAACGTCCAGGATGTGTGCCAGCAGGCGTGGCTGTGCCCCCCCTCGCGCCACCACCGCCCGCCGGACAACCTCGAGTGTCGCCAGGACATCAGTCTCCTCTTCTACCTCCGGAGTGCGCTCGTCTGGGCCCTTTGTGCCCTCCGCAGCCTGCCTGGTCTTCTCCGCCTCCTCGAGTACGTCCTGTTCCGCCCGTACTTTAGAGACCTTCGCGTCCATGCGCTCCGAGAACGCATGTAGCGCCATCGCGAGCTTCGTGCCCGCCTTCAGGTAACCCTCCTTGACCAGCTCGCTGACGACTGCGCGCGGCCGGCCGACTTCGCGCTCCTGCGTGGGCAGGTCAAAGCTGCAGCGTTCAAGCTGCTCACTTGCGTTGTGCTCGCATGCTTTTGGAATCTCCATCCGACAAGGGAAGCCTTCGTGTGTGATGATGCGCAGCGCCCACACCTCCGCTACCTCGAGTGGCGTCGAGCCGACACTGTCCTCCATGTACAGCGCCTCGACGGGGCCTGCATCGATGAGGAGCTGCGTGAGCTTGGGCCGCCCCTCTTGAATGGCTATATGGAGTGGGGTCATGCCGTGGACGTCGCGCAGGAGATAAGGCAATGCCTTGGCTTCTACGAGTATGCGGACCATGTCGATGTGATGGCGCTTGACTGCGAGAGCGAGAGGCTGAAAACGATGTCCAATGAGATGCATCAGGCGGATATGGCATCTCGGTCACTCACAGTATATTTCAAGCCTTTGGATTGCTGCATTAACATCTTTTTGACCACGTCCTCCGGAAAAGTGGCCAACGCGCGTTTGATGAGCTTTGCATGGTACTCGCTTGAGTGTACTGCGAAGTGATGAAAGATATTCCACCTGCATGCAACATGAACTCCTTCATTGATGTTGATCAGCACGAACGAGTCGAGCTTCACTCACCCTCTGTGATCAGTGTCGGTCACGGAAACACCCTTGTTGACCAGGAGGTCGAACAACTCTGGATTGACGCCCCAGTTTGCAACAGCAAGGACATGGTTGAACCCGGAGAAGTTGATCCTAGCAGACAATACAGTCAGTTCAATATCTGACCCACTGATGTACTACATGCGAACACCCACTTTGCATGCAATGCTTCCGTCATTCGTGTTGGGCGCAGCTCAAGCAGCGTCTGTACAGCGTCGGGTTCGCAGCCAATCACAGCTGCCGTGACCACCGACTCATTCATTGAGCGCGTTCAACGTCCATCCTAGCCAGACTGGCAGAACCGAGGGGAGGTCGTGTGTGCGACGCAGGAGCTGAGCGCGCTCGTCGCTGTGTGTAGACGCGTAGTAGCGGTAAGCAGCAAGTGGCCGGTCTCCATGGAGGTACCGCAGCACGCCGCACGCATTTGCCTTTGCGGCGTGCCACAGGAGGGGCATGTCATCAGTCTTCTCCGGCTCGCGCGACTTCTTGCTCAGTGAACGTGCAAGATCCTTACGCTTGCTGCCTCCAGCACATCATCCGCCGTGTCGGACTCCGACGGCTTGCCCTGTGCCGCCCTTGCCTTGTGTGTGGCGGATTGTATCCAGTCAAGCAGTGTATGATGAGGAGTGTATTCCGACTGATACCCTTTCGTAATGGAAAGAGGCGCGTTCACATCCACCCCAGCGTCTAGCAGTAAGCTTGCAACATCGTCTCGACGCTGGGCCGCCGCTTCAAGAGGCGTACGGGCATTGTCTATGTGGTCTCTGGAGTTTGCGTAGTAAGTGTGTGGCTTTCTACATAAATGCTTCAGCGGCAGCAAGGCAGGCAAGAAGATGTGCAACAGACCTGATAGTCTTGAAGTGGTCATAATCGTCCTCGCCGAGCACAAGCTTCGCCTTGTACGCAAGCAGGACCGCCAGCACAGAGTAGTGCCCTTTGTCGATGGCAGACACGACAGGATACACGGTGCGTGCCTGTGCGTCGACGTACGGCGTATTCACTACGGCTTTCGCGCTGGGATCGCAACGGAGCAGCGTCAGGACGAGATCAGCCTTGCCAGAACGGACAATCCGGTGGAACACTGTGAGCAGATTCTCGTCTGCCTGCGACGATGTGGCACCAGCAGCAATGAGCTTCCGTGCGATTTCGCCTCTAATGCGCTCGTGCCTTGTCAACGCGGTTATCGTCAGATGGTCGAATTGATGCACGTTCCATCCGTTTGCCACAGTCACAAGAGAGACGTCGGCACCATGGACGATGAGCAGGTCGACAACGGCAGTGGAGCCCGCAAGAATCGCATATTGCAGTGGTGTGAAGACGAAATCCCAGTCCGTGGCATTGACGTCTGCCTCGCTTTCGTTGTCCGATGTCTGCGCTTCGTCGACGTCCGTGGCAACCTTGACGACCTTGACATCGTGGCTGTGGCCCTCGACCACCGATCCTTCGTCACTCCCGTCGTGGATGTCATCGTCCTCTCCGTTCTCCTTGTGTTCATCTCCGCGGCCCGAGCTCACCATACGGGTCTCGCCACCCACCATCTGTGGTGCAGCCGACTTCAACTCCTCCGCTTTCTCACCGTTGATGGCGCTTCGCTCGAGCATTCTCCGCACAACGTCGGCCAGACCAAGCTGCGCTGCAAGATGCAGCGCCGTCCGCCCGTCAGCGATCCGTAGCGTCAGTCGAGCACCCGCGTCAATCAGGTCACACTAGCACCGCTACTTGCAATGGCGTCCGGCCGACACGGTCGCGGCGATCAAGGTGTGCACGGTCCTCTTGCACCAGGGCCACGACTGCCGGTCTGTTGCCAGATGCGATGGCTTTGAAGAGCCTCTCCGTCGCCCCGATGTATGCCTGCTCGGCCCACTCTCCGACGTGGATAGGATTGAAGCTACCGGAGATACTCTGCCGCCCGGGGTCTTCTTCGATGAATCTATATAAATATGACATGAGCGCGATGTAATGACTAGCCGTGCATGTGAACTGACTGGATACGACCCCGGACGTATGTGGCGTCTTCCTTCGCTTGGAGTTGCTTCTCGTCGTCGTCCTCAGGCTCTGGACAATTCTGATCCAAGTCTTAGTAGACAGTCTGCCGCGTATACAGACCATCATTAACCTCACAGCAATCCTCTAGACATTCTGAAATTGTCCCAAAGAAGGCTGGGTGACGATGCAGCCGATGCCCTTCGTTGTTCGGATTGAACGATGCTGTACAGACGTCAGCATAGAGCAACCCACGTGCAATCCAATACAAGCTCACAGTTCACGCCCAGATCCTGACAGACGACGAGTCAGAGGATTTGAATGCATGTACGAAGAAGGATACACACCGTTTGGTACACCAACTTGTCGATCCGCCGAGCATTCCACCCAGGTCCATACGGTATGTGCAGTGCCCCAGTGTCATAGTCATTCATCTCGAGTCCGGTGAAATCCAGGTTCGTCTTCAGGTCGCCCTTGTTCTTCCGACCGTGCCTCTTCCAATCACGTTGAGCATTCGGACGTCCGCGTAGAGCACGCCGAGCGTCGACATAGCTGTCGCGGGCAACCCCATTCCTGATGTTCTCGAGCACAAGCAGACGCCCGAGTCCCTGAGTCCGCGAGATCGCTCGCTCGAAGATCTACAGTCCACGTCAGCTCGCTCGACGCAGTATATGACAAATGGAACTTCTCAGTACGTACCGTCGGATTCACGTCGTCGCGCCGAAGAGTGGGCACATACACCTCAAAGTGGCGCGAAGAGTACTTGGCCAGCCGTATCTCATACGACGGCGACCGACGCGTCATGTCCACCGTGTTGCACTGTCGCATCATCGCCACGATCGCCCGAGGGCTCGCCCACACACGCCTCCCATCGTATGCACAGCACGGCGCATCCACGTCGAACCCTGCAAGGATCTCCGCGGGAGACCGGTACCGCGGAGACCGGTATAGACGCAGCACAATCTGCACCGCCCGATACGGGTACTGCGAGTGAATGGACACGGTGTGCCTCGAGCGCACACACGTCACGTCCCACGGAACAGAGTCGCGCACGGCCTCGTAGATCGCCTGTGTCTTCTTCTCAGCTTCTGCCGCCGTCAGACTGTATAAGAAAAGGTCCACGTCCGACGTCGGATACGCGTGTTGTGGAAGTGCTTGCGCAGCGCTCTCTTCGACACCTTGGCAGATGCGGGGACAGGACTCAGACACGCCTGCACTGCACCGCCCGCCGCCACCACGTTCTTCCAGTCGGTCAGCTGCGACAGCGACCCTTCTGTGAAGAGCGCCAATTTCTGCTTGAACTCGTCAAGCGTCGCCACCATCGCCGGCGTGCCTTCCTTCCGACGACGGTCCTCAGAAAGAGGCAGGATGAACTTAGCTGACACATCGCTCTCGTTCTTCACCACTCGAGCCCGCGTCGTGCGAATGGCCGCCGGCGCATCGAAGACGTCGACAAGGCCGACGTGTGGATTGTTCAGGCGAGGGCTCGTCTTATCTGTTGCGAACAGCTTGCGCAGAGCCGCTTCATCGTCGATCGAGGCCTGCAGCGCATCCGACAGTGCGTCGAACGCGCCAGGACCCGTGGGCAGCTCGACAACGCGCGACAAAAACGCTACGGCTTCGGGTGTCTGAGACATGGTCGATTACAAGCAGGGATTCCAAGTCTCGCACTGAGGATGCGAGATGGCGTCCGTCAGCGCGTGCAGTGTCGTTTATATGTGCATTGCATCGTGCTTGGAAATGATGCGATAGGCCACGGCTGATGCCCAATGGTCGCAAGATGAGTCACATTGTCGGTGAGCGGGCGCGCAAAGAGGCGTCGGGTAGTGAGCGCGAGGCGCAGCGACGAACGTACCTGGGCGTCGATCATCCCGACCTGATTCGGCATTGCTATCTTTGGCAATTCCCGTCGTGTGTTTCGTGACTCGCCCTCGGGACATCGATGCGGATACACCTCGTTTCAGACACCGAGCTTTACATGCGCTGATTCTGGATTGATGACCACAGCCTCCAGGCTTCCAGGAGCCACGCTGGTACTGCCGCTCCCGCATGCTGCATCCGACGCTCAGTTCTCATAGGCTGATGGCGAGAGTACGACTCACTGATGCAGCTCCATCATCGCACAGCGTCACGATGGCTCAGCGTTTCTCTCTCTCTCCGGTACCCCTGCTGCCCGCTACCGCCACCGCATATTCTCAGCGCTACTGTCTCTCCTTCTGCTCGGGTCTCCCAATCTCCACTTTCCACGCTTCCGGATTCCGTAGCCCAGCGCTTGCTTCACCTAGCTCACGTACCCTACCTCGCTGACACTCCGCGACACCTTGTCATGTGCCTCTCCTGCTCGGACATCGTTGCCAGCATGTGTGCTGGTCACCGGGCCTGTCCACTCATGTTCGGCCATGTATACACGGCACGGAGCATCATACCTCGGCGTGCATGCGCTCTTGTCCTACCGGTAGACGATGTACAGATGAATGGCGCAACGTGCATGCGGGATAACGGGCTCCAATACTGGATCACTCGTAAATCAAGGTCTCTTTCATCGTTTCGAACTGCCGCCTGTTCGCTAGTATTTGCTCCTTGAGACCCATAACGTTCGTGATCGAGATCTGATCGGCAAAACCGTTCCACGATTAATACGCTTGCCTCGAGGAACTGCCGTTGTCTTTGCCAGTTACAAAGAAGGCGTGCGAGTGCAGATGTGGCAAGCAGCTTACGCTCGACTCCAGACTCTATACGCTCGTGTAGCGCCTTACTCTGACGCAAGAGGTAGTTTGAGACCAAGTGTCCAGCCGACTGTCTTCCCGAAGAATCTCTCGCCCGGTTCCACGTTAATCTCCATGTGCACTTATGGCAGTCTGCTGGTGGCGCTGATTTGCTGAGTCTGTCTCGCACCACAGAGATCTCCTTCGCATTTACTCGTAAATTTCATCCCTTCGTTTCCAGGGTCTCGATTCAGAAATGTATCACATCTTGACTGGCCACGACGCAAGCCGTACCAGATAGCGGCCCTCACGAGTCGCACTTCACCCTCAGCCACGATCCAATTGGTCCCGCCGTGCTTGACAGAGTGCCATATCCTAGCGTCGTGACGTCTCATGCCAGCAGCAAAGCCCTATTGGAGAGGTAGCCAAACACTTGGGCCTGCAGGGTAGTTTGTCCGCTGAAGACCTGGAAGGAACTCGACGCCGAACGACGCGAAGTCTCGGAGCGTTACAAGAAGGAGGCGTGGCAGGCGTGCACGGGACGCAATGCAGTACCTACGGCATCCGAACTTGAACGTGTCCTCACTGCCTTCGCCGGGCTTCTTCCTGTGTCCCGCCTCTCGGACTAAGCATTTCCCACGCGCGGTGCATAGTCGCGATTGGGTACGAGTCTAGCTGTGTATATGGAACCCAAATACGTCAGGGTGTACCTACTTCCAAGGGTTCTCTGGGAAACTTCAGATACACTGGTACGTACAAACCTTATACAGTTGTCAGTGAGGATCAAGGCGATGCTCTTGGGACTGCGCACTACACAGCCTCTCAAGTTCACATTTCATGATTGACGGGGAGTCACACGATGCCATATTGTGGTCACAAACGAGGCCGCATTGAACCGGTAATCTTCTATGATACTTTTTTCATCATTAGCAGCTCGCTGCTCACGAAACAGGAAGGTATCGATATTTACACAAGAGGGCACACTGACTGTTTCAGCATCGACGTTGATACTAAACTGCAGTGGTGCAACGTATCCTATAATGCCTATCTCAGCTCGCAACTAGCGTGCACTAGTATGGGGTGACACACTTGTACATCAGCCGTGTGGACCATTGTGAGCAGTGCCTTTGTGCGATCATCTGACAGAACTTAATCCTTGAACTCCCGGAAGCTATAGGCGGCGTCCGTTCTGACATCGCACAGCATGTTCAGATTGCATAAATACTCTCACTTGGTCCACAATAACTAATCATTCTGTTGACTTCAGCTCCGCCTTCGGCCATGACCAGCGCCCAGGCCGTCTACTTTGAGCAGCTCTCGAAACTCAAATATGGCTATCCGCTCTGGGATCCCGAGCCTCAGAATGGCAGCGTCGAACTGCAGATTGGCGACGTGGGGATCGTCTTTCATGGCGTATTCTCCCGCATCTTCAATGCCATGCGCCCCGAAGGTGATCCCCTTAATGTTGATGGTGTTCCTGAGGGCTACCTGCCACTAGACCTTGGGAGAAATCCGCCCAAAATGGAACGGCTCAACGACTTGCCTCCAGGACCGCTCTGCAGCCACACTATAACGCATATCCACGCCAGCGCCGAAGTGAGCGCTGGAGTTGCGGGGTAAGTCGTTTCAAGCATATCGCTCGCTGTATCCAAGTGACCCGATGAATCGCAGGCATGGTGCCTCACTGGACTTTCGGTTCCGTTGCTCCGACAAACAAGGAGCGATTCTAATCACGAAGGAGGCCATCGACCGCAATTTCCTTTTGCCGAATAATCGCATTGTGCAATACATCCGCCGCCACTATAAGAGCTGGTATCAATTTGCCATACAGGACCGCGGCTATGCAATCGGCATAGATGATATCATGTTTGTGAGCGGATGGGCTAAGACGGCAGATTGGGCTGTCGCGGCCTTCACTCAGGGAGGGAATTCGGCAGAGCTCTCCTTCGATGGCAATTTCGGGAAGCCCGCTAGCATATCTGCCTCCTTCTCCGTCTCGCATGAGGAATCACCAATTTTACAGCAAAATTCAGGTCCACGTGCGCGACGGGAGGATGTTGTCGCACAAGATTCTAACGCACGGAATGCCCGCTACAGCGGTAGGCATTCCGCTGTGTCTGGTCACCACCGGAGGGACCAATGTGTTTTTTTCCACTACTACATGGTGAAGCCCAGGGTACTCAGGACTCCAAAGGTGATCCGCGCCGCCGCCGGATTTCATGAGCCAGGGCGGTCACCAAACAATGATTCGGACAACGGGTCGGGGTCTGAGTCTACAATTTCATCTCAGAGTGTCGACGTGAAAAATATACCCTGGGATCAGCAGGTATGCATTAACGACCATCATATTGCTGAACACGTGTACTGATATGAACTACATAGCCACATAATCCGGTAAAACTACTGTTAGACTACATTCTGGAGGTGAGTAATGATGACTGTAGATGACTGTACTAAGGCCCTGACGGCGTTCAATCTCGTGCAGCACTCGGATGCCGAACTGGCTGTAGCTAGCGACAGAGACGTTCATACTCTGATGGAGGTACGTCAACCGCTTCACTGCACAAGTGAGACTTTATGCTACCACATCGTGTATGCTTCAGGGCCGCGCCTCCGTGGGTCTGGAGGTAATATTGGCAGAAATACGGCCGCACGTATATGTGGATGGAAGTGGATGTACGCTCTCGTCTGTTTTGTTTACCCATCTGTGTTGACGACCTGCGAAGTGGGAACAATTCACGACTACGCCACTTCAGAAGGCGATCATGATAAAATTCAAGGAATATTGCAAGAGAAATTATCACAAAGCACTTCCCCAGTGGCAGGAAGCTCAGAGAACGACGAAACCCGAGAAGAGGATTTATTCTCCGCTGAGTTTTTGGAATGGTTCCCGCAGTCACTACATGGTGAGAATGAAAAACGCAATCTTACCATAGAATAATTTAATCTCATGTTCTCAACATTGTCAGCTAGTGCGAGAACCTCGCCAGCATCATCACTCACGTGTGCTACCCCTGAAGCGGACAATGCGTGAGTAGTCGAATTCATTGATTTGTAACCCAGAGAGACAGACGCTATACTCTTGTTAAAGCAGCTGGATGCGTTCACCGCCATGTTATTCACAAGATGGAAAGTCTACGGTTCATGGGTCTATGAATTGGGAGGTCGCCAAGACACCTCACTTTGCGATACAAACACCACCATCCGTGTCTGGATTTGATGAGTATATTGACATACAAGAGCTCGAGTGACCGGGGGAGATGTATGCAGTGGGACCAGATTGTCCATCAGCGAAATCCACGGAAAGGCGTCAGTCAGGCGTAGTCTGCCCAGTCAGGCACATTTCCCTCTTTTCTTAGTTTCACTCGTAGGTCGCGAGGCACCCCGATCAGATTAGGAAACCGGCTCGTGGTGGGGCCGAAAGAAGTAGGTTGTATATCCCCTCCCGGACACCCAGAACAACATCGAGCGCATGCAGGATGTAGAGTCGTTTGGGATATACACGCTTAAAAACATAGATTCATTCACCATTGCAGTGATGTTCGAGGAACGAGAGACGGATAAAGGGCATCATACGTTTTGTGAGGTGGAGCGTTACGTCCGGTCAATTAGAGAATGATGGCAACCACATATTGGACCATGAGGTACTAGAAGACGACGCTGAATAACATGGATTCACTCACCATCGCAGTGACGGTCGAGGAACGAGATATGGACGAAGTGATGGACGTCATCCGATTCTGCATGGTTCAGCGTTACGCCTGATCGATTCGGGTTGAGACAAAAACATCCGCTTCAGAAGGATGGACGAGCTTATTGATTCAGCTCAAGACAGGGATGGACGGAGCAAGGCAAACACAGCTGTCCAACGCGAGTGTTTTCTAGCTTTAGCTCAAGCGTGAGCAATACTAGAACTATACAATCAGACGGTGCAGTCTCATGGCAGGACGGATGCATCACCAATGTGTCCGCGTTATCTGCCTCTGCTTTCTGCGCAACGTACATTGTTAATACCTCGCTACTAAGGAAGGATGTAGTCCGAAGTACGCACTAAAGTCGTAGACAGAAGACAAGCCACATTGAATGGCGAAAGGGAGAATCAGACGAATCGCTAAAACGTGTAAATCGAGGTATTAGCGTCAGTCACTGTAAATGTTAAGCGTTGCTCGTTCAAGATTATATGGATGAGCTGGTTAGAACTGGGGCAAGAGAGTATCAAACCGACACGTACGGAAGAAGCCGGACCCCATTGGGCGCTTAATATCTAACTCTTGTCCGGCTCGTCTGCGGCATCTCGCATCGTTCGTCTGTGTCTGTACAGTCGTGATCTATTGCAATGTGTTTTGGGAAGGCAGAAGACAAGCGGACCTTCGTCGGTTCTACAGCACGCAGGAAATGTATTCTAGGTTGATCAGTTAGTGACGTTCGATCAACATGACATGGGTCCCACGTATACCATCTCAGCGCACGAAGCGTGTTCAATTTCGACTTTGCGAGAGCAGAAGGTGAGGAGCCGTTACTTTCGTTATCATGTGATTGCCAGCGTGGCAGCTGAGGATCTCCGGCGGCAGCAGACATCTCCGGCGGGGTTCGAAGAATAGATACCGATGTGCTCATTGAAACATCCACAGTTTCACGAGGCGCAACAGTCCTGTTTCCGTCTTGTCTCGGCTCGGAACCACTTTTACTATGCTTCTGCTCTCATTCCAATCCTCGACCAAGCCCAAAGAATGGCATCGTCTACAAGCACTATCTGAGGCAGAATCGATAGAATCAATGCAGATGATTCTCTCCGCCCTGTCATTGGAAACAACGAAGTCCAGTTCCATACCTTCCACGTGTACCATGGTCATTCAGCACGATTCTCTCATTCAGCCGGCGGCCGACAACGTTGATCGGGATTGGTACAACCTGTATACCGCAGTTGATCACGTCAAGAAGCTCAAATCATCTGAGGATACGGAGGTGTACATATGTACCTTATCGATTACTGAGCCTAGCAAGCTGGATGTGGTATGTAAGATCAAGAGAGGAACTAGCGGGATCGAGGAACTTCGCGACGAGCACGACTGCTACGTCAAACTACGAGACTTGCAGGGTCAGGAGATTCCCAAGTGTTATGGGTTGTTTCAGAGCTCTGGAGATGCCTATTCTCGAGACAGGGCCAGCCGGCGGTCCACATGGGCTTGTCTCGTACTTGCGTATTGCGGGGAACGTCCTCCTAATGGTGACCTTATGTGCATGCCCTGGGAATTCAAGTGAGTCGTCTGTGTACTATATATACTACATGGCAGAAAGTGACGTAGCACATCTCAAAGAGAACAGTTTCTGGTGAACCTTCAGACGATCCACAGGCTCGGAGTCATCCACCGCGATGTGTGCAAGCCGGGAAATGTCATTGATTTCAATGGCAAACCCGTCATTGTCGACTTCGGGAATGCCAACTGTGACCATGTATGTGGACAGACTGAAGCGATCCCATTCGACATAATCGAACCTATGGATCGATTTTGCCGTGAGATAGCCGAGGCTGCAAAAGAGACATGGCTGTGGAGAGCAAGTAGGTTCTTCATGTTCCTTGAGTTTAACGGTGTCTACATAGCCTATTCATCTTGGCAGGCTTTTTCGAGACCAAATTTGGCACTCAGATACCTGCCGATCTCTTGGAGGATGAAGAGATGACCCCGGAAGAAATAATACACGAAATCGTGACGGGATACATTCCCCGGATCATGGACTCTCCAATCCCCATCGATCTCGAAGCGATGGCACGAGCTGAAGTCAAGAGGTATCACAAGCTAATGGAGACGAGGAACAAATACATGCGCCCTTCGGGAAATCTATGATGGATGAGTATGGGATCTGGAAGACGAATTCAACACCAAGTCCTTATATGACACTCATACCAAGTGTAGTTGTTCTAAGCGGCTATCAGTTGCGAACCCGTCATATATAGTTATCCACCTGATACCTATGTGAACACAGACGAGTGCAAGTTGTCCAATAGCTCATTGTTTGCTCAAGCCTAAGCTGGTAGTGAAAGATATGCGCGAAGCATCGACAGGACGGATGATGCCGTTATCAGCACAGCGGCGCAGTCGCCATGCAGAACAACGGCGGTAGCATGCAGGCTTCGGACGAGTTATGCGAACACCCAGGACGCCTGTGGATATCATACAATGAAGCAAGCGCTGGAACATACCAAGACGGTGAAAGGCGAAAAATGAGGCGAGGCGTGCTAGGGCGCGCGGCCACAGAGGGCATGTCAACGTGAGCTCGTATCTGCGCCACGGTTGGATGAGCATAACGGGAAACCGGACACTGTCCGCGCAGCACTTCATCGTGTGCTCTGTTGAAGCGGTACGCATAAACTTCAAGCGTACACGTCCCTCGCGTCCTGTATAAGCATGACTCAAGTCAATGAATCATCTAGTAAGAGAGCGAAAAGACCTCATAACATTCCCAACGAGAAGTCTATATGCTCTCCATGCTCGCAAAATCGTTCTCCGGCTAGAACCTCGGGCCATAGAAGGAATGAAAGGAGGACGGTCTTGGACGCATGGGTTCACAACGTGCACCGGCGGTGTCTACGTCGAAGTTAGGCGTAGCCGTAACCTGGCTTGTCTGAAGAAGGTGTCACCTAGATCGTCTGCTGTTATGAGATAACGCAACAGCACCCACACGCCCAGAAATACGGAACATACATTTGCCCTGTGACACTGGCAAGCGTTGGGTCCGGTCTCATCTACAGTATTCCCCATCACTGCGTCCCGGAAGGTCACTCGGCTTCATTCTGGAGCCTCGACGTATGGTGACCTAATCGTATAGCTCAACTTCAAGCTTCGGGTTCCGCTTGCTCGCGTTAAATATGGTGACGCCTGATTTAGAATGTGTCGCACCTGGTCGAGCCACTTTTTCAAGATTGCAGTAATTTCGCGGCCTTGCTACATCATAATGTATATTTGGTGCCGCATCGTCCTGTCAAATATAACACGAATCATTCACTTTCCTCAAACCCCATCGTCATGTCTCCGAATAGCGAGCGTTATTATCGAGCGCACTGGTCGTCGCGCAGAGGCTGGAAGGAGGCGCCACAAGCAAATACACGAAAACAACCCGCCCGCCGTGCTGACCCTAACCCACGTGTGTGGGTCGGCCGTGGTGTCCGAGTCGCTTGCTTTCCGCTCACCTCCGCCATCCTCGACATCGACGCGCCAGGCCGTGCGCCCTCTTTCGCTTCCACCCTCACTTTCGCAGATGTTGCAAGTACAAAAGGCTTCTCAGCGCGTACGGATCTTCTTCATACGGTCCAGACATCATTCTCACCCTCGTGGTCCATTCTAGGCTGTTCTCCGGCGCTCACGTCATGCTGCTGCCGTCCACGTCGGTCGCTGGAATCCTTCGCGAGGACTCGCGACACCATCTGAACCCTACGATGCTATAGTTATTGGTGCAGGTGAGTGACAAGGACCATTCTCCGCGTCCGTGTTGCTCAACATGATATGGCAGGTCCTGGCGGATATGTTGCAGCTATCAAGGCCGCACAGCTGGGTCTCAAGGTCAGTCGCTTCTCTCGGACTCAGCTATGTCTGTTGTTGCTGAAGCATATGTAAAGACCGCATGTATCGAGAAGCGAGATGCGCTCGGTGGAACGTGTCTCAATGTCGGCTGCATTCCCTCAAAAGCCATGCTCAACAACTCGCACATGTACCACCAGACACAACATGACATTAAGAGACGCGGTATCGATGGTGAGCTCCTCGCCTCTTCGGCACTTCTTCTATCTGACACTCCACGTCCAGTGTCCGGCGTCTCCTTAAACCTCCCTCAGATGCTCAAGGCAAAAGAGGATGCCGTATACGGTCTGACCCGTGGAGTCGAGACGCTCTTCAAGATGAACAAGGTCGACTGGATCAAGGGCACCGCAAGCTTCGTTTCGCCCACGCGCCTCAGCGTCCAGCTGAACGAGGGTGGCGAGACTGAAGTCGAGGCGAAGAACATCATCATCGCGACCGGCTCGGACGTCGCACCTTTCCCCGGTGGCGGCATCGAGATCGACGAGAAGCAGATCGTCTCGTCAACAGGTGCACTCTCACTCCAGAAGGTCCCGGAGAAGATGGTTATCATTGGTGGTGGCATCATTGGTCTGGAGATGGGTAGCGTTTGGAGCCGGCTGGGCGCGCAGGTGACAGTTGTGGAGTTCCTGAGTGGCATTGGTGGCGCGGGTATCGACGAGGAGATTGCGTACGTCTTAGTCGTTCAGTGATGCTACTTTGACGTGCTAACGCCTGCATGCAGCAAGCAGTTCCAGAAGATCTTGGCGAAGCAGGGTATCAAGTTCATGCTGAACACCAAGGTGCTCTCGGCTGAGAAGAAAGATGGGAAGGTCTATGTCAGCACCGAGGGTGCCAAGGGCGGCAAGGAGGAGACTGTATGTCTTCCCGTACATCATTCCGCGCAGTACAACGCTGACAGCTGTATCCCAGCTCGACGCCGACGTCGTCCTCGTGTCTGTCGGCCGTGTCCCCGTTACGAAGAACCTTGGCCTCGAGAAGATCGGCGTTGAGGTTGACCCACGCGGGCGCATCGTCATCGACGACCAGTACAACACCTCCGTGCAGGGCGTCAAGTGCATCGGTGATGTGACGTTCGGACCGATGCTCGCGCACAAGGCGGAGGAGGAGGGTATTGCGGCGGTCGAGTACATTAAGACGGGTCACGGGCACGTCAACTACCACGCCATCCCGTCAGTCGTATACACGCACCCCGAGGTCGCATGGGTAGGCAAGACGGAGCAGGAGCTTAAGGCGGCGGGCGTGCAGTACAAGATCGGCAAGTTCCCGTTCACGGCAAACTCGCGCGCCAAGACGAACCTCGACACCGAGGGCCAGGTCAAGTTCATCACGGAGAAGGAGACAGACCGTATTCTCGGCGTGCACATCATCGGTGCGTTCAGTTGTTCTCTGTTTCTGTCGTCTGTGTGCTGATGCTGGTATGACGTAGGTCCCAACGCCGGTGAGATGATCGGAGAGGCGACCCTCGCGCTCGAGTATGGTGCAAGCGCGGAGGACGTCGCACGGACGACGCACGCTCACGTACGTTCCATCGGCCCGCTACTCCTACCAGACCAGGCACTGATTCGATGTCTCCTACTTTTCAGCCGACGCTCAGCGAGGCCTTCAAGGAGGCCGCGATGGCTGCGTACCAGAAGGCGATCCACTTCTAGACTTTGTGGCTGTAGCTAAGTTCGTAGCGGTAGATAGTCGGCACTATGATTTATGCACAGTATACTAATCGCCAACCACCGACAAGAGAGGTGCTGTTTTGTGTTGATGACAAGTGGAGTTTGAGCGTAATCTAGGTGCGTTCTAGCGGTTGTGTTTTCTGCTCTAAGTGTGGTATGAAGAAGCACGGGCTGCCGGTCCTAGATCTGACCTTCCGCAATCTGCATAAACGACAGTCTCCCGAGGAGACTATGTCGATGCTTCATGTTGACCGCCAGGCTCAGGATATTCGTATCTGACTTCAACCCGATCTGACGATGTAACAGCGAACGCAGTTCGGATTTGTTCGCATCGGTTTCGTTCGTATTGGAGACTCGAAGATTTGGACGTGGCCGAGTGCTTATTACCACTGTGGCACAGGACCCGTTGAAACACTTAAGGTTCAACTTCTCACTGAGCCATTCAGCAGCGTCCGCCAGTATCCAAGTAATGTTTTCCTTCTGGTCATTCTCATGGTCCTGCATCCAGGGCGTGCTATCCTGTAAGTCGATATCTATGCTGTCTATTCGCACGCACAACGGTCCCGAGGAGTGTATGCTACAATCGACAGAGCCCGGCAGTATGGGCCTTGACTTCATTTCACGAGCGGAGGCCTACTTCACCACCGCTGGCAGTATGACACGCGTTACAATGCTATGATAGTAAGTTATGACCACGGGCTCAGCATGATCAGCGTGCGTAGTTCATCCCGTTCTTTGTGTACTCATGTCTTTTCCCATTCCTGCACTCGCTCCTCGCATCTGTGAGGGTGGCATGGTGCAGCACGACAGATACCTCCTTGCGCTTTGCGAGTTAGGCTGTTTCATCTTTATCTGTAGCCGGCCCGCTGCGCTCAGGGATCGCTGCGAGCGGCTCAGGCTGTGTACAGAGAGGTTCAGCGTCCCATGGCCCGAGGCAGCTCCCGATACGCCCCAACAGACACGCACCGAGAATGCGCCTCCTATTTTTTCTATTCCTTTCTAGCCCCACACTTGAAACATATATTATTCATAACTTCTAAGATGGAAGATAAATCGTTTGTAATTGGTATTTCACGCCATGGTCGACATAGTCACATACTTGTTAACAGGCATCTCTTCTATCTTATCTTTTCTCGCGTGAAAGGCGCCTCCCTATCTCTGCCTTTGCAATCGCTCAAGATAGGACTGGTTCATGCATCACTTCAGGACGTCTGCTGGCGGCGTTTTCATAGCAGTATTCGCGACCCTGTGTTAACATCGGTAGTTCGGACACGTGATCGTGGCAGAGCGTGACTCAACGATTCGTGCAAGCACCGAATAAGAACTCAATTAGGCTTTGATCCGTGCGATCTTGTGAGACAAATGCTGAATATCACTGTGCTTCCTGGGGTGCTGTCGGTTGACTGTGAGACTGTTTTGCTCATAATGAAGTTCTGCTCTCGGCGGCTGACTTATCCGCAGCCCCCCCCCCCCCCCCAATGCATGCGAGAAGGCCTCTGTACAAACTCATGACGTGTCACTGAGTGAGTCATTGTTTGTTGCGATTCATAAATCGTTTGTATTCCTCCCAAGATGGAGCAGCTTACCTGTCGTATACTCTGCAGGATTGTCTGGAGCGGCCAACCACAGGGCACGTGAGCATCTTTGACTCGGTTTACGACCGTAGGTACGTACATAAATCAAGATATGTGGAAAAGGCCATAGTGTATGCCCATCCTTCCCACGTTCCACACCGCGCGTGGAGCTCCAGTACGTGGTTGGCGCGTGCGAGCTGCCTCATTGGGGCATCTGACTTGTCCTTCCACCACCTTTGGACTTACCACCTTTGGACTTGGAGCCGAAAGCGGTGATCGAATTGTGACTGTGCTGAACCTAGGAGGCATTCTCTCCTTTCTCTGGGGATACGTGCGAATGGTAGGGACGCTTCCGCTCAACTTTAATCATGTCTGCGAGTGAGCCCGTATCCGGCCAGTCCAGAGGAGCGAAGGCGTCGCGAAAAGCTGGATCCCTCAAGCGTTCATCAATTTGTTATGCTCTGGTCCCTACCTCTGGTGAAACCGCGCTCATTTGGCCATCACGATTTGTCGATAGAGGGCTGCCGCATGATGGATTGACTCCGGATTTATATCAATCTACCAGATTTCCCGAGGGAGCGAATTGGGACATTGACAACGTGCTTCAGGCCATTGCGTGGGGGCATCATTTCCATGAGATAGGCGCGTTCAAATTGACTCCGCGCTGGTATCCACACGATTGTGACTGATCTTCTCGGACGCGGATTTTATACATATGGGTCCCTGTTTGTCCCCGTTTGGCGAAGCGTGCTGTGGGGGTGTCAGCGCTTGCGGGCATCACGCCCTTAGATGTTTAAAGTTCTGGATTGTATGCCAAACATTGTCGCCGCCTTTGCACAGGACGAGGCCACATCTTGAGTCTCCCCCCCCCCCAATCCGCGTACGAGGGATGATTCTAAAAGCTGACGATTTGTCAATGGATCAGAGTGTTGGGACACTCACTACCTCAAGGCACCCGTTCTCTTCAGCTTTCGAGAAGGACCTGCTGCCACGAGTGTGCTTTCCATAGCTCCCTGCATGGTTTCCGTGCTGCGACCTCTGGGAGCTATGTGTGCTCTACGTGACTGGTCTCCCCATTCACTCGTCCGTGGACACACCACATGTGAACTCTGTCCTTGTACTGGGCCACATATAGACTGCTAGAGAAGGGGCATGATTTGTAGGGTCTTGTGGCGGGCGCGCTGTGTTATATTAGTACATTCTGTCTGGAAGCTCTACACACGCACCTCGCACAACCCCACATCATCGTGGTGGACTCACAGGTCAATGTGACAGACAGCGCACGGGTATCTGACGACAAAGGCGGGTCTGACGGCCTTAGCTCTCGCCTCCAGTCAACCTCAGTAGCATGAACTGATCTCGTATAATCTCAGAAAGCAGTCACAGTGATAGAGGACACACACCAGGTTCCTGTGGCGGCGTATTGATGCACAATACTGTTGATACCTAGATAACCTGCTCTCATGGTCGACAGCGGCGCTGCCGACGATCACTCACGGGCTGTCGGGTGTCGAGGAGAACGACGCCACAGAACTGAAAACCCTTTTGTAAGTGAAATATCACACGCTGTCAGAAACTGGTGGAATGTGGCCTTCTAACGCACCGGTAACTTCTTTCACCAACCACATAGCCATTCGCGGTCACGTTACCTGGCCTTGTTGTCGAATCCGCACGCATCGTGTGTTGCGTAAAGGCTGGAGCCCGGTGTCTCCCATCGTTTGAGAAGTTAGTAGTCGCATTGAACAGGTTCCGTACATTAAACCTCTGCAGCGTGTTTGATAGCATGCTACGACGAGAGCTGCCAGAACTATCAAATGACAACACTGCACGCTTAGGCAGCCTCGGACAATACTGTCTAGGTAGTCTTGTTTATGTCCATTTGAATTGAGAACAAAGCCTGCCGCTGGTGTTGTTACCTTACGTCACACAGTGGAAGAATGAGAACGTGATGTAATAGGTGCGCACCATCATTCGCCTGTGCGCATCGTGTCAGAACCAGATCTGACTTATGAGCCACCGGATCGAGCGTCTTATGACACACAGAGAGGGACAGACATGCTTTTGGGGTATCCAACCGAGCCCGTTGTTGGCTCAGCGCTTCCACGTTTAGAACATGATTGTTCATTGGCTCTCACTGCCCGTATAGCAAGCCGCAGAAGCAGGCCTCGCTGCTTCTCTCCTGTCACGCATGCCTCGAGGACGGACCGTACGATGTGACGCGCCATTCTTCACCAAATATGGTTCACTGACACACCAGCTCATCGCCTTTAGGTGATGTATAAAGGGAGCAGCATGATGCTTCTGCTTTCCGCTACCACCCGCTCAGTCTCCAGCCCGTCGTACTAGCCGAGCCGCACCCAGTAGGAGCTCCAGCATCCCTCCAGGCGCCCCTTGTTTCAATTATATTTACGAACAACACGAGCAACAAAATTAACATGTCGCAGTATAGTGGTGTGTCCATCCCTTTTGTCACTGGTAGTGCTGGATGTGATTTGAGGACACCAAGCCGACTATGCAGCCGGAAATACTTCATCTGGAGACATATCGACCGATGGGGCTCTTGAATTGGCTGGGCTATATTCCTGGCCGCCACAAGATGAGCAAGACTTTGAACAACCGTACGCAACACACTGGTATAATACTGGTCCGTTGCTCTCCTGTTTGTAGCTACAAGCCGAGTTGACAGTTGTATACATTTTTGAACATCGATATCGACGACAGGCCCTGAGTCTAGTGACTTGTTCGGTAATCACAATGGCTGGCAATCGAATACAGAATTTACATTCCGCGGTACGTACTGCGCCGCATTCGTCGGACAAAGCGCCGCTGACTGCATGTTTACAGTGCCCCAGACATTCATTTCGGACTCCCAGCCTCAAGCACAACAGACCCCACCGAACCCGTATAACAATTACGACAGCGTGCGTTTGTCGATTGGTTCGATAGTCCAGGGAACGAACGTTTACGATCCTCCATTGGCAGAAGGCGCATCCCGGTATACGGGATATAGTGCCTCGGCGACATCAGCTATGCTGAGCCGTAACTTTCATCTCAATCAGAGTACCTCCCGACCTTCCGGGCGGCAGGATGCTGCAAGATTCACAGGATTGTATGGACGTCCCAAGCTTAGGACACTGATTGCCAAGGATCCTTGGCCGCCGCAGGTGATGATCTCACCCGAGACCCGGACAGTATCTGTTTTCATGGACCCCCGTGCGAATGCGACAGAGAATCTTCATAGAAGACCTAAGCACCATCCGAAGAAGCCCCCCAAAAAACAGCCCCCGAGCGCGTGGATGATGTATCGAAGCGCGGAAGGCAAACAAGAGCGATATCGTGGCCAGCAACAAGTGAATGTCGTAAAATCTCTTGCCGGGTCATGGCGTGCTCTTCAAGACGACGAGCGCAAAGAATGGGAGAAGCAAGCCCGCGAAGCTCGCGAAAGGTTCCGCCAGGAACGTCTCCAGAATCACGCCCATTCGGAAAGGCGTACACCTACGCAGATCAGCACCCCTTCGAGCACTAGGAACGCGGAAACCGTTTCTGAGGTTGTCCAAGAACCGGAAGTGCCATGGGCGTCCGTCATACAAGACCTCTTCGAGACAAATCCCGGTCAAGATTCTAACAGGAATCCTTTCACTGACTGGTTCGGCTAGCACGGTGATGTAGACGTTCTGGAGAATTGAGCTGTAACTCGATGTGTATCTCAAGTATCTGTCCTGTGTTTGTCCCATTGTTCGATAGTATCCAAATGCATACGTTAAGCGCCGTCCGGATCTCGCTCCCGTGGCAGGTAAATTATTGATATTCAGCATATATTTGATTATGCATCGGGAAAGCGTCGCTATTCAGAATGATCCGTTACTTGTATATTTATATGTGAGTTAGTTGGGAGTCAACTAGGACGAAGTCCACGCCGGACAGTACGCATGGGCAGTGTATACACAATTGATAAGGCGCATATGTGTACTCACGTTGCAATATGCCTAACTCGTTCAAAGTTGTAGTGCGTACTGTATTGATTAGACTGCGGAGCAGTTGCTGGTTAGTTGCTGTCTATGATCATGGGATTCATAATTCAAAGCGACGGTCCCACGCTTATCATGGGCGAGGTTGCTAGCCGCTCCGAGTTGAGAGGAAGTATACGGTAATTCTGACCTTGCCAACCAGTTAACAGGTGCTTACTGGCTATTTAATCGATGATCCGTTGCATTACCAACCATGACTTAGCGCTGATGCTCCGCAACTCGGAACTCGTACTTATGCAATGATCGCCAACATCCAAATAGATCAATACCATACACCATTGCCCGCTTGATTGAGTGATCACCGTGCTCGATATAACATTCATGATCGATCATGAGTCTTACTTTGTAGCTCCGGCGCCCTCACACCTAGGCCGTTTCAGTCAAGCAGTACCACTCGCCTCATTCTTTCCCTCCAGGCCGAGCCACTCATCCAGGCTCCTCCACAGCCTTTCCATTTCCTCTCCCCACAGCTCCCTGCGCGCGCTTGCACAACCGAGACAATACCCCATGCCCGTCCAGTCCTTCTCGCACAACGCCTGCATCGCACAGAGCGGGTCCCTCATGCCGTCCTCGAACAGCGACGACTGCAGCACCTCTGCGATCCAGTGCGTTAGGCTCGCCGCGCGTGCATCACGACAGCCTTGGAGCACTGGCCCCTGCTTCTCATCTAGTGATGCTGTCGGTATCTGCTCGAGAGGGCATGGCACGACAGACGGTGTAGGGGGTGCACGTGAGACACGCACCCACGCATGCTGAAGCTGTTCCCGGGAACGGACCAGTCGTAGAAGGTCCAGCTGACCAAGGGTATCGTTGAAGTCGTCGTCGTCCGGCTTATCGACGAACTTGAGATTCTGCCCGAAGACCTCGCTCCGGAGGAGTTCGTAGTACGCGCGTTTGCACATATCCCGCAAGCCGCAGTGGCGCGCAAGCGCAAGGGCCTCTGTTGCATGTTGTTTGTGAACGTCCGAGGGTCCGGGAGCGAGGAGGGAGAGGTCGGCCGGCCACATATTGCGAAGCTCTTGTGACGCATAGTCACGGATATCACCGAACTGGAGAGCGTGCGACGCGCGAAGCAAGGAGGCGAATTCAGTAAAGGTCGACCGCTTAGACGCAAAGGCGCTATAAGTCCATTATTGAGTCTGGTAACTCTAGGAAGAAGTGTGCATATACTCACATGCCACTCTCAAGAGCGTGCAACAGAACCTCAAAATCTTTCACCTTCACCCTTGACACTCTGTATACCGGGCAGCTGTCGATCAATTCGCCCTCCAGCAACCCGTCTCCTTCTGCCAGTATGAATCCGTTTGCCTGGGCTTCGTCATCACTATACACTGTTCTGGACTTTCGCTTGCCCTTCGCCTTCTGGAAAAGCTCTGCGAAGTATGCAGACTGCAAGGCAAGCCGCGAGCGGTGCAGTTTGAACAGTGTGCGCTCGACGAGCAGCACAACCGAACCGTCGAGGTGCCAATACGTTTCGTGTCGCGCGGCTTTGCTGAGCGACCGTCGCCGTGCTGTTGTGAGCATAGAGTTCGGTGGACTGGAATACACCGCGATCGGGGTGCAGAGCGAATCACTGTTTGGGATGCGGGCGCGCTTCGCCGGACGCGGAGATGGGTATGGCTGCGATGATTGCGGAGCATCATATGCCAACGGCGGAGGCTGCGATGCAGATGGGCGGCTGGTAGTAGGGGCAGCTGCAGGTGCTGACCTATGCTTGCGCTGGGATTCTGGTGGCGGTTGCGACGCAGAAGGCATCTTCTCTTTCTTGACATTAAAAACCGATGGTCGTTTGATGAACGAGACGCCCTCCCTGGCGCGTGATGAGGACGTCGGGGGTATGAAGACGACTGCCCGGGGCTTGCGATGGGAACCCGATCGCGACAGCTTAGTCACTACCTCGTCCTCACCGCGCTTACGCTTCTTCTTTCTCTTAGGCTTTACTGGCAGCGACTCCTGGTGGTCCGTGTACAAATCATCGATGTCGTGGCTGTCCAACGCGGCCTCGCTTGTTTCGCCGTCTGCAACGAGAACCTCTTCTGCAGCGCCATCGCTGTCTTCGTCGGATTTTGGCGTAGGAGCACGATCGTGGTGATATGGAGGCTCCTCTACCTTGGGAGGCGCATCCTTGGTTGCGATTACATTCATAGTGCCGGATTGTGTCACGGTAGATATCTCAGATGACGGCTCAGCGAGAGACCGGGAGACGTCATCACGAGAATTTGTGTGCTCCTCCTCGGCCTTGTCTTGTCGAGGTGTGGCGTAGGTAGTGATAGGACGCTCGAGAGGACTCACAGGACTCGAGGAAATGATTTGTGACACCTCAGGGAAATCAGATTCGGGAGAGGATCTACCAGACATCGCCGCTTCGTCGGATTTGTCCGACATGACAGATGAGGCTTTTATAGAGGTCCGACGACCTCGAGAAAGCAGTCACAGTAAATCAGGTACAATCAACTGAGAGTGTGAGCGACTCACGGAAACTGTCTATGGACACTATTCCTACGCTACACTGCGCGATCGTGTCAAGTATATGAAGCAATACAGTGAACAAGCGATTCTACGGAGAAACGCCACGCGATCCCATGTGTTACGTGCGAGTATGACGGGAGATGTAGAGTCTTCACCGTGGGGACGTTATCGGGAGATCAGCGCCGTCAATTGCTTATGCCCAAGTAGCCAGATGGATTCACTGTCAACAGCGAGGTCTTTCCTGATACTGCTCTGAAATATTGCCTGGTGCGAGGACCCGAAATCTAACAGCGTGGCCACCGAGATGCCCAGTTCTGTAGACCAAGAATGTGACACAGCATTTAAGATATATTCCAGTTTAGCACGAATGATGGGCCTTACCAGCAAGATCAAACTTTCACGACCTTTACACGTCTACTCCGCTCTGGGACCTGGTTGCACGCCAAGGCGCTGAGATGTCTCAGGAGTGATGAGCTTCCTTCGCAATACCGGGCCCATATTTACCTACCAAAAGCCCAGATAAGGGAATAAGCAAGGAGAGGGAGCTTGACACTGAGGTCAAGCCAGTAAAGGATAAGTCGCAAGGCGCTCGCGCCGCGTCTAGTAAGCGCCCCAATCACGTGATCGTCCAGCTCTGATCAAATAAACCTGCAAAATCTCATAAATACGTAAACAATGCCGCCGTTCATAAACCTTATAACGGACAGTGGAACCGTGGGTTACGAGGGACACTTGGGTACGCTGCGTGTGCGATAAAGACTTGGACACAACCTCGACTGCCCCACATAATGACATCCAGTTTCCCATGTCCAGACTGTTGCCACGGCGTCCATCTGTGGCACGCCCTGCCACCGTATCGCAACATACCCATCCTGGAGTCTATCAATGGCAGAAAGGGCAAATTGAGAGATTCTATCAACCGGTACTAGATAAGAGAAAGTACACAGTACATAGTCTCCGGCTTCTCGCAGTCTTCCTTCGTCATTATGCGGGGGCATCTGAAGTCTCCTTCTCCTTCCCTTTGCGCGACTTCTTCGCGGGAACATAAGGTTTGAAGTAGGCGCAGGCATCCAGTTCGAGCAGAACACCCTTCGAGAAGTCGTTCCCGTCCTCGTCCTTCCCGTCGAATATCATGACGGTGGCTTCTGACACGTTCTTACGCAGATAGCCCTTACGATAGTAATCTGAGTGCGCTGTTGCATGTCCATCAGTACCCTGTTTCGATGCAGAGGCGCAGTTACGCCAACGAAGACGTACCGACAAGTGCGTTGGCCATCGCCGTGGTGGACATCTTCGGGGAATGCTTAAAATCTAGCGGTCGAGGCTGAAGTTCGACTATATGCTCTGAGACGCGACGATGCGTTTTTGGGCCCATGTTCGATGAGGTTCGCTGGTCGTATGGCAGGTATGGGAAGACGAGAATGGGCTCGTGGTGTGTATATGGCAAGGGGGATAAAGCACGGTGCCACAGAACGTGGCGCAAGTGGCGATTGTGGACACGAGGTGACTCACCAAACCTCGATTTATTAAGCACAATATATCTCCTGACAATGCGCCATTTTCAAGCGATGAACGAGACGTGACGAACATCGCGGCATGCGTATAGCACAATCAAGAATGGAGGCTGTGGGCTCTTGGCTGCATCGATTCAAACGACATACAGGATCGTCATTGAGGCAGCAAAGAAGCTCAGCAAGTTCATGCAGATGAAGCATGCGAGCATCGTGCAATAGAGTGACCCAGTGTTGCAAAGCAGACTGAAGAGTAGCAGTTAAAGCAGAAACATCCTGCCTATCGGCTTCGAATATGTTCCCACGATCAGAAAATATCTAGGTATTCTGTTTATATATCGTGGAGTTTATCTCAGGTGTGACACTGACAATACCTCACGCCGGTCTTTAGTACCTGAAACTCTAACATGCGCATGAAAAATAGGGAGTCGCTGACCAGGATGCGGGTCATATGCACCCTTACGGGGAAATCCTGGCATTATCCGGTTGTTAATATACAATCTCGATGACGCATGTCCCCGCAATGGTCCTGTGATATTTCATGTACTGGAGAACTAATGGAGAGAGCGTTTCGAAAGGTTGCACGTATATATATGGAGCACGGTGGGAAGGAACTCGTCTGCCCCGACCCTTCGCGTCTCACCGTTGACACTTTCGAGACGGCAACCTGAGGATCGTCAACATGCCTTGGGGTACTATCCAGCTGAACGACGGTGAGTCTGTTCTCCGGTGTCCACTATCGTGGAATGATTACTTAGGAGCGCAGGGACGAGCATCCCGAGCATTGCATACGGAACATGGAAGTTGGGTAATGGACAGGCGACAACCGACCATGTGAACGATGCCCTTTCCGTTGGGTTCACTCATATCGGTAGGGCATCGCATCCCTTTTGTGCACATCGCAAGCTGTCAAGGCTGAGTTGCGTGATTGTCAGATACTGCGCAAGTCTACCGGAACGAGTCTGAGGCTGGAGAAGGCTTGCGTGCGAGCGGCGTCTCTCGAGATAAGGTCTACATTACGACGAAGTACTCGGGGCGTGCGGACATCGAGACGTCCATCAAGAACAGTCTCGAATATGTACGTACAGTTCCACATTTGTTTGCCGTTGTGTTTGCAAACAGCGTTCTCAGCTTGGCGTTGACTATGTCGACCTGTATCTCATCCATGGGCCTGACCTCGCTGTGCCAGACATTCCGACCCTCTGGAAGAAGATGGAGAAGATCCAAGAGGATGGGCTAGCGAAGTACGCCACTCCCAGTTCGGCTCTGACGTGCGCTGACATTGTCCACAGGAGCATTGGTGTCAGCAACTTCAACGTTAAGGAACTGCAGACGCTCCTTGCGTCAGCAAAGATCAAGCCCGTGGCTAACCAGGTCTGTCGTCGTCGGGCGTGAATAAGTGATTTGCCATTTGACTGCCGCCTAAATGGGTACAGATCCTCTTTCACCCGTACGTCCTCGCGCGCCAGGCACCTATTGTCGCATTCGGCGCGCAGCATGGAATAGTAAGCGAGGCATATAGCGTCCTCATGTAAGTCTTTGCACGCATGGATAGTGGCAGTTCGTGATCGATTCAAACACTTTCCTAGACCCATCACGCGCCACCCCGGCGGTGCAGTCGACGCCCCCCTGCAGACGATTGCCACGCGACATGGGGCACAACCTGAGCAGGTTTTACTCGCATGGGCGAAAGCGAAAGGCGTGGTTGTCGTGACGTATGCATCGACTCTTCCGATGCAAGTGCTTTATACCATGGTTCTGACGTCGTTATTCTCAGGTCGAGTACGAAGACCGAGCGTATGCAAGGTTACTTGAGTGCCGGAGATCTTAGTACGTGCCTGCACATTCATTCAAAAGTGCCAGTCTGAAAGTTCGATGCAGATCTGAGCGACGCTGAGGTCGCCACTATTGATGCAGCTGGCCTCGCCGGATCGCGTCGTTAATGAAGTATCGCTGCACTCGCGCAGCGTCGGTAGTTCATTCAAAATACGAATAGCATCATATCATTCACGTTTTCTCCTCGCATCGACACTGAGTACTTTGGCATGTGCACTAACTTGAACATAAATCAGAATTGCGACTTGCCGGTTAATAAATGTTGATCGGGATCCACTGTTGAATGGCACGATCAATGTGGCTGTGCATCTCCTCTAGTGCTTTGTGAGTCAAGTTCTTAGTCGCATCTCGTAGCCACCGCTTGCACGCCCGACTCCGTCTGCTTTGCAGTCTCAATGAGCCTAAATGAGGATCCGCTGGTGGCGCGTGAGGACTCATAGTGACACAAGTACGAGCAATCATGCTTACAAGACAGACAGTCTTGAAGGCGGAAAACGAGCTAAACTTTGCGCAAAATGGTGAGCAAGACCGGAATGAGCGACCTGATAAGTTGTAGACTCCGCTCACGAGACATCCGAGTGCTACGACATGAGATCTCCACGGAAGTAAACAGGGCGATCTGCACCATGCAATGCGATGAGTGCCATCTCAACATACTTGCCAGAGGCGCCGAGGAAAGGAGCTACTCCATACTCAGCTATCCGATCAGATTTGAAGGATGGGCTACCTTCTATAGACGGCTTCCGGTCGGCGAAAAAGCAAGGGGTCGATCTGAGCCAGGGGAGCTTCTCGCAGCGGAACATAAATTTTGAATTAGATGATCACCGAGAAGGGCTAAAGTGTGATAAATTACAAATAAGACGACGCCGTCTCCTTCATGGCTCCCCATGCTCATCCCATGCGGGCTCTTCTTCGTACGCGGGCGGCGGTGCTTCGTGCGCGCTCGCCGACTCCAGCCTCAGTCGCTCCACCTCCAGCTGCAGCGCCTCGATCTGCCGCCGCAGGTCCGAGTCGTCGTACGGCACAGGCGCCACGTTCCCGCTGCCCTCATGCCGCCTGGCCACAGCAGCATGTGGATGCGCGGTCTGCTGCGTCTGCCGCCGCCGCAGGTCCGCAACGTGGGCCTCGATGTCGCGCATCTGGCGCGAGAGCTCCTCGCGCCGCTGTGCCGCCTTGGTGCGCCTACGTCCGCCTGGGCCGGTGGCGACGGCGGCTGCTCCCAACGCGGGCGACGAGAGCATCGCCGAACTGCCGAGCGTGCCCGTGTCCGTGGCCCCGGGGTATGCCGTATCGGATGGGGAGGCGGCCGTGGAGATGGAGGACGGGAGCTCGGCAGGCGCGGCGCGCAACATGTACTGCGTGGGCGTGAGGCGCCCTGAGTTCGATTCGGTGGATCCCGACTCGCTTTTATGCTCCTGTCCGTCATCTAGCGCTTGATGAACGTGCGCGCTCCTGATTCTGTGGCGGCGGCAACGCCAGAAGAGGAAGGCAACAAGAATAATAAGGAGCGCGCCGACACCGCCGACTACGCCGCCTACAATGGCGCCTACAGGCGGATTCGATGCGGCTGAAGTGATCGCGGTTGGTGAGGGAGAGGTGGTCGCGGAGGCGGTACTTGTGGTACTTGTTGTTGCCGAGGAGCTCTGCGAAGTCTTGACGATATCAGAGTCATATCTGCAAGACGATCATCAGTCGAATTTGCCCTGGGAGAATTGAACTGCACTGACGTATACATGGCCCAGTCGAAAGCCAGAAATGACGCATTGACGTCACGGCGGGCAGTCATAACGAATTCGTGCTCCGCGTTCTCTAGCGCGGTGTTGCTGTAGACAGAGACATTGTATTGCAGTGCTTCAGATTGACTAGGAATGTGCGAGTATGTTCCCACAGGCTGTCCATCCAGTTCAAAGCTGAGGTTCGCGAAGGTTGTCGCCCACTCGACGTAGTTCGGGATCACGCAGAACACCCATAACGCTGTGCCTGCGACATCTTCAGCAAGATATTTGAGAGGAAAGAGGAGAATGCTTCACCACTGAATGTGAGAGTGACATTTCTAGGTGAAGGATCTGGAGGTGATGCGGTGACACCGTGCCATGTGTGATCGAAGACTTGATTCTCATCTGGCTGTACCAAGCAACTTGGGCAAGTCTGCCCCGTGTGCCATGCGCCAGATGCGGGTGCAAAGACCGGCTGAAGCCCCGTTACCGAGTCCCCGTTGGAATCATCGATGGTCCGGTTCGTGAGCGTGGCAAGAGAGAATCGGACCAGCAGGAGGAGGATGCAGATGGTTCTCCGGGAACCTCGGTGCGCAGAATGTACCATACGGACGCAGAGATCGCACGCCGACCAGGGAAATTTTGAGAGCCGATTCGGGCGACGAAGGAGAGTGTGGCCGAACGAAGCAGGGAGAGGGCTGTCTATGTGGCCGCCAGCAGGTCGAAGAATAAGGGTATCGCCAGAGTCGTGCACTGAGGGCTCGTAGGTTACAATTCAAGGCACTGTGCCCATGTTGGCCTTGGATATGGTGCTCTCACGCTGTCATCAATATTGATGATGACAGACATCCGCCGCGAAGCGACAGTACTAGTGACGGTGACGGTGAGCGCATTGATCTGATCACGGAGGCTGTGCCGCCGTCTTCCCGCCACCCGGCAGATCACGCGTGTGCACAAATAAACGCAAGCAGCGCGCATCCCTTCAAATTTGTATTTGATTGGCGGCGTACAGCAAGTCGTTGGTCTTCCTGCAGTATGTCACGAGGCCCAATGGGTCAACACAGCGGGACACATCAGAATGCCCAATCCCTGCTTTAGAAGGCCTTATACCAGAAGATGCATCGACAACCTCATAAGACAGCATGCGCAACGCGCGTTCGATAATTTCTGGACGGTCAAGTCACTTGTTCTATATCCACTGGTATTCTCATCAACGGCATGTAGCCTTGTTGACTCCCGGATTCACCCACGTGACATTCATTCTATCCCGGACAGATCGCGTAATAACGGTCTGACTAGGGAAAACCCGACTTCCTTGACGGGCCGGGGCTCAGGCTGAGGGAATGCGTGATGTCGGGCTCCCCCGAGTCAACTCAGGAGAAGTAAATCGCATCACGTACCTTCACGCACACTCCTGATTGTGTGAATCCTGCACATCTTGTAGTCCAGATTCCTGGAACGCTGCAAAGGCCGATAACGTCGAAGACGTGCGACCGGGCAGATCGCGCAGATGCTTTCGTGCGTTGAGTCTGCCATGCTAGGTCAGCGGGGCTGGGCTCAGCAGACAAAGAACTCACGCCGCAAGTAGGGAGTTCACATATACTTGTAAGCAAAGGTCAGCAGCCGCACCTCGCGCATGCATGGGTCTCGTACATGTGCTCTGGGTCCATGAACATAAAAGAAGCGCCTCATTCCCTGTTTCATACGACCTGATGTACTGAAGAGCGCGATCAGATTTCGGCATTTGAGTGCCTTACAGTGTGTGCGTACGAGTACAAGCTGAGCGATCTGGAGTACACTGGACAATGAGGCCCGCGCGCGAGATGACTAGTGTCAGACAAGGTCTGTGAGTAGCCGCAAGGCGTACCATAGTGTAAGGCCACGCGACGCAGCGTAAGTGATAAGTCTCGAAAGCAATGATTCGGTTCTACAGCATGATCAGGAACGGCGCTTCGAAGACTGAGACGACGGGTTACATACGATGAAAACCCGCGTTTTGCGTCGTGTAAGGTGTAGCACAAGATTGTTGCGATGTAAAGGTCGGCTGCCAAAGCAGCAGATATCTCGATGAGCGTGGGGGACTGTTGAGCATCGGGTTACAATCTGAAACGTCCGGTTTGTCAGGGCCACATACTATGACGCCAGCTAGTGCCGCTCCGATCGTGTCCGTGTTGTATCTGCGATACAGTTCGATGTTCAGAAGTTTGTCCGCGCTTCTAGATATTTTCTTACATGTCGTGTACTGAGGCTGTTGTGCATCGACATGAGAAAGTGTAACGGAGCGTTTGAGTGCGGGCAGGCCTACCTAGGTTGCCGCCTCAAAATCATTCAACGTCAGTTTATGACTCGGTATTGTAATGAAGAAAGGTACTGTACCCAAACATAACAAAATGAGTATTGTCTACATCTCTAGGTAAACAAACGGCCTGTGAGATGCTGGCGGATGCGGGCACTCACTGCAGCGATTGTGAACAGGAGCCTATACCTTCCCAAATTCATCACTGCGGAAAGCGATGTTTATCCATGAGGAGTATGAAGGCAGTGTACCGCTCACCGATCCAGATATTGCTAATGTAGAACCTGACGGTCGGACCTCAGCACGTCGTCAGGAGTGTGAGATGCAAGGATAAAGTACAGACCCTTGAACAAGAAAGACTGCTATACCCTGGCAATCGTCGTGACCGACTGGAGAATACATCAAATCACATAGACTCACGGAGAGAACGACCCAGGCCTGTATTGCTGTTAGTGTGGGCTTTATTGAGAAGACAGGAAACACATGCCCCGAACGACCTGCAGCGCGATTGCGTCATTTGAGAGCCATGTCAACGACAAAGAACATACCTCGGTACTTCAGCAAGATAGAGGGGGTTACCATGAACTTGAATAAGATAGAAAAATGCATCCTGTGGGGAGGCGTAAGCGATCGCTTATATCATCCAGACGAACACGTTTAGTGACCTGGGCAATGACCACCTCCTTGGCAGTATCGACAAGCCTGGTGCTTCCGCGTCAGCGGTCTCGTTAATATACCATGAGAAACATTTCCTAACAGGAGGAATATGACCTGCGAATGCAGTTGTAGTTTAGCAGCATGTCGTAACTGATACAAGAGTCGTGATTACCAGCATTTTCAATGAGATTCTATCACCGGGATACTTTTTGAAGTAAAACACGGTCTGCGCTATCGATAGTCCGTATAAACTAGAGCGCTACATGTCAGTCGACTACGCGGGGAAGGAGTCAGCCAGAGGCCTACGTCGATGCAAGTATGGCGCCAATCAACGCGAAGCCAATCGTATCTTGCAGATCTAACATGGAGCCGGGCATGGTGTCTCTAGGGTGAAAAGGAAATGTGAGGTGAGCTGTTGCTGCTTGCCCATACCGCATATATATATATAGATTCTAGCCACTATGGCGCCTAACTGCTTGTTAGAGACTGCATCCCTGCCTGGAAATCCCTGAACCAGACAGGTACAAGAAGGGATCTGAACGGAGGATGTGCCTGGATGTTGAACAGATCATGATATATCCTGCTTTCTAATTGTGTCCGCACTCTACACACGTGTAACCCAACACATGCAAGCAGTGTTAATTGAATATCACGGAGGACATTAGAGAGCACTGTGCACCTTCGAGTCATACTATCTGCTACGCAAGTTGCGTATGTGGACCTGGCAGTCCAATAGGTACTAGATGACATCCTTCAGAAGCGAAAGATGACCATAAATGATAATCAGACAATGACATCGGGCATGTGAACATAAGCACTATTGGCAGATGATTGAGATAAATTAGATTGAATGCGATCACACCTGGATGCCCACTGGTGAAGGATCAAGCGAGCATAGTAGCAGCGCAGAGCTACCTTGATGAGAACCAAAAACAAGAATGTTCTGAGAACGTGATGGTAAATCACGACATACTCAGCTGTTACAAGAGTACCATTGGATAAATATGAAAAGAATGGATTTTTGACTGACTTGATGAACCATGATGAACTGAACAAGGATGATGATAGCTATCGGCGCCACCGGCAAACAGCGATCCATCTGTGCCTGCGTCAGCTGCGTCGTGTATGAATAGATTAATCTCTCAGCATCGTCAGTCTAGTAACGTGTAACCACCGCGTCATAATTACTCACGTACACGACCAAAGGACAGCATATTCAAGTGGATGGTCCTCGGTCGTCACAGGAGTAAAAGTTCTGCACTGCAGTGCGCTTCGAACGTGATGACGTGAATATCCTAGGCTCAGCGTAGATTGCGACAACAATCCAGGCAGAGTAACCTTGAAGTCATATCATGCCATCATACTTTCGGGCTGTTTATGCTCCGAATACTAATCTAAGACGAACAGCGCTCGCATGAGGGCTGAACCGGCAATTGGCATAGCCGCATGAGGCGACGGGCCTGCACAAAAGGGAATGGGCCAAGTCCTTCTGAAACAACACCCGGGTTCACAATCAAAGGGAAGAGAGCCCACGGATCAACAAGATAACGCGAAGCAAGAGGAATCATCATTGAGATGATCTGCTCAAAATCCTCGTCGTAATTCATACTATGAATATCGTAGCCTCGCAGCGGCATACGTTCGGGAAAGGTTCAATATACATCTCCACCACCATAAGAGAATCCATAGCCCCGCAAGCTCGAACATAATAGCGTCACAGTAGCTGAAGCGTAGGCGTACATGACATCTAGTCATGGAATGCGCCTCGACGTGCGTGCGATTGCATACCACGGCTACAGACTCGTGCGAGACATTCGCGCGACACCGCCTTCGGCCACGACATATTATACACACGAAGCTACTCACCAACATGAATTCATCATCATGCCACCCAGGGGACTACCCTGCTCCCTGATCCCACCCCAAACAGCGAACCTCGTGGGCAGAAACGCGAGGCGGCACTTACGTACAACGCGATAAGAAAGGATCAGTGAAAGTCAAAGGAGATTGACCTGGAAAAATGTACGGATAATAGTCGGGAGATGGAGCTGAGATTGTATCTGGACAGTGTCAATGCTAGATGGACTGGGGTCAGCAGGTACGACTCAGCGCCGTCTCCACGGGGTCGGCATATGAAGACGACATGGGCAAGCGCGCAACATGCCAGCGTCTATAAGCTTGACCGTGACGTATTCATGTGAACCCAGACGCATAGGGCATAGCATAATGCTACGTGAAAGCGATGTCAGGCACTGCGAATGTTTAGGGAGCAACTGCGGCCTATATGTACAAGATGCGCGACCGTGCCATCCTTTTGATTGAGGATACAAGAGTGGTGGCGGAACGCTATTATAGAGCTGAGGCGGAGAATTAGCAGGTAGCACAAGAGTGAGCGTATAAGCAAGACGCGGCACGAGCGCCGAGCCGAGCCGAGCCGAGACCAACCAAGAAGGCCGTGCACAGACAGGACCCGAAACCCGCGAATAGAAAACAGGGTCCGTATGGCAAGACGTGAGAAAGGGGAAACCATAGGTAGAACCCAATGACAGGATAGGCTTAGCAGAGACTTGTCTCCTACAAGCAGACCTGAAATATCACGATCCATTTTATATGGGGAGGGTGAACATCATATATGTGTAAATAAACAAAGAGGATACAAAGGAAGAACTGTAGACCGCATTTTTCTGCATTTCAGAACGAGTTTGCCGGGTTTCAAGCTTCAGAGCATGGGGACATACCTTCTTAGGACGTCTCAGCAGGATGTAGACACAGCACAAAATCATCCAGTCTTGATAGACGTGGATTTGCACTTCCCACAGCTCTGAGGAATCCACGCATCGCAGCGCTGTGGTGCATTCGCATCGTCGAATGGCACGGCTAATCCGGATCCGTGTAGAATGCATGTTCCGTCACCGTCAAACAACGCAACACGGGCGGAGCACGCGGCACGCAATTGCACGTAGCGTTAACGAGCGTGGACTACTCTGAATTATGCCACATCACATTGAACACAGCCACCGCACAGCGACCTCGCGCAGCTGCACAACAAACAGGCAGCAACGCGACGTGTAGTCCGACGTCAGTACTCAAAAAAACATACAAAAAAGCAGCTAGTGCATGATGCGTCTAGCATGGTGACAAGGGAAGATGGTGCGCCCTCAAGACACGACACGCGACACTCGGGACCATCTCTGTGTCGCCAAAACATCTATGCAGGGACCCATGCCGTACATTACAGCGAGCGCATCATATGCAGCTGGTACGACATGTTGGTCTCTTTAAAGTGCAGCTCATCGCGGACAACCTGTATAACACAGGATTGGGCCATACATACCGTGACCCCAAGGCTTGCTTGCATTACGCGCAGACGTAAAATGCACCGCAGGACTGTGGCGCATTCACGTCTACGTGCCATGTGCAGCCCGAGCCGGTAGTCAATCAGGGGTATATGCAGCGGTATAGATGTATATTGTAGCTCACCAGGCGTTTCATCCCTATGCCGACTCTTCAACTAAATCCTTATCGAGGCCTGCAAATACCGCTCAACTTGACTACCAGTGCGAAAAGCTAGACTGTTGAGCAACTCGAAGAGAATTATATCGAGTGCTATTCAAGTCACAGAGTCCAAACGAAGATTGGTGTAGCACAAGTCGTCATCGAGTTTGCAAGCGCCCATATAACTGGCCGCATGGAATCACCCCCATCCAAATCGGTCAGAGTTCTTTACTGTCTGGAGCCTTTCTCGCATTCCATCGTGTAAATTATTGATACTCCACTATAGTTCACATGCGCAGCTCTGGGTACTGTACCTCATATTACGCCCTCGCTGGCCCGAGACTACTTGGTGCTTCGACACAAGACAGTGAAGTCCTTGTTGGGCCCATGGCCCTCATGGCGTGTAAGCGATGATACATGTATTCATTGTTGGAGCTAGTCGTGAGCAGGCTTATCAGCTACATCATCCCATGACTTGCGCCGAAAACAATCCATGGAAACGTCCTCGGAGGCCGGGGGGTTCGCTGCGTTTACCATGGCCTCTTGCTTCTCGTGAACGTCTCGTCCTTCGTAGTGGCACAAGCCACATCTAGTAAGAGATCCATCGCATTTTCATGATACAATATCGGTTTGTGGACTGTACGCTCGATCGTACAGCACCTTCAATGGATTAGAAGCACCCTTGAACTGAACACCGTCAAGATCTATGGAAACCGGCTTTCGGCCTCTCTGAAGCAAGGCGCCTTCCACGGGTGGTTTGAAGTGACCATCGTAGTCCGGTATGGCGGGACGTATTGGCTCGACGATCTCCAGGACACGCAATACTACGACTCGTTTTTTCGCATGTTTTGGAAGCGTAGATCGCTCGAAGCGACAGAGTTTTTGGCCTATACACCAAGGAGGAGTTAATATGCAGGTCCACCCGTCGTTTTTGCACGCTCACCGGTGTACGTTGGGCTGGGCATATGTTTCCTGCTGTCCCGCCACTGATCGCGCAAACGTGGACTTCGAACTAAGTCCTCGTCTAGCCAAACATACGGCGTGAATGTGGAGTTGGAGAGATTTAGTATGAACGGGTCCTCGATGTGAAAGAAAAACTGTTGAGACGTGCGGCGAACGAAGTGTACATCTGTTTGTTTCTTGCAACGTTCCAAGAGGTCCTGGGATACCAGCTGGTCTCTCAGCAGGACATTGGCAAGCATACGGTAATTGATCCTCGTTGCGATATCCATCAGACGTATGGCGTACGGTAAGTGGCCGGAACGCAGAGAGAGATCAGTGCCGGAAGCAAAGTCGAGCTCGCCTGTAGGAGGGAGGAGTCGGCAACGGACTTCGCCAGTAGTGGGAGGACGAGAGGGAGGCCTATAGTAGTAGAGCCAGCCTTTCGTTTCATGCGGCAATTGACTGGTTCCCGTTGAAGTAGCACTACTCAGCCAGGGCGAACAGCTGCGTGAGAGCGCCGTTCCCTGCCTTGCGATCTGGAGCGTGGACCCGCGAATTCCACCATGATCCCCCCACTGTTGGTTCTGTGCGACGGGCCAACATCTTGCGGTCCCAGACTTGGGTTCCCAGCCTATATAGTGTGATGACGTCGCTTGAATCAAGACGAGATGCATCGAAGGTGGTGATGGAGTTGGCATATTGAGGTGGACGCTGAGCCGCAAGGGTCATCATGTAGATGCTCGACAACATTAACATTGAACATGGCTTACGCTGATGGCCGTGCTGAAGTCAGAGCTAAGCGTGCCAGAAACTCTACGTCCCGTGCCTGACCGTTGTGTTACCCTGAGGCCAGATGCCTTGAAAGGCATTGGTAGTGCAGCATTACATACTCGTAGCATGTGGATTGACAGGCTATTGCACGTCTGAGAATCAACTTCTGTTCAAGTCAGCGTTGCGGGCGCGGATGAGTTCGAAGTAACAAGCTGGCCAGTAACAATGCGCGTGTGGGAAATACATTCCATTCCGAGACTTAAACGCCTGCTCATCATTGGCGTGCCGTCTTGAGGGCTTGCCGACTACCCAGTATGACACAGTATTGATGGATCGTGCTCGTTGAAGTATCCAGTCAGTTCAAAATATATTGTTGTCTTCTGGGACGACGTCAAACACCCCTATAGGCTCATCCGCTGTTGGTCATCTTGCACTCCGACCCAGGCTCATAGTCTCTCAGTTTCCCGAGGCATGAAGGACTGCACCAGCGACGACTTCAAGCAAATTATGGGCACGGGTACTAGCCACTCCGAGTTGATATTGTACAATGTCAAAAGCACGTCTGGCACCATGCAGACATCGGATGACGGTGACTCTGGAATCTCGATTTGTTCTTTTCCATTCCTAAGCTGAGTGCATTTCAAAACTCCGGCCCGTTCGGGTCTGGCATTCATAGATGTCTTACTGTCTATATAGAGCTCTGGACGATAGATTGTATAAAGCGCCAAGCATGAGTCTCTCGCTCAAATTTGCTGTCCGGCCTAGTTTGTCGTGGGTGGACTATCTTGTCGTCGCTCGATGATCTCAAGCTGCTCGAAGGTCAGATAGAATGCTGTAGAAGAAAAGTATGAAAAGCATAAATCAATTAGGAGCAAATCACTCGCGCGCTTCGGAATATAGGAGTATTTGACCTTGATATCCTCGATGTTAACCCTTCCTCATCGGCACTGGAGTGGTGACAGTGAGTTACCACGGTGTGAGATGCGTGGATCTATGCTCTGGTGCGGAGGCCTAGCTTTGACGTCTCCGAAACAAGACCTTGGCCTTCTGGTCAGGGATCAGCGCCGTGAAGATCCACCTAGAAGACGGTAGTGCGCCATCCTCCTTCATCTTCACATCATATGTCACCACAACATGGGCTAAAATCGCCTTCATCTCCACTGCCGCGAAGAACCGACCAGGACTGGCAATCTCATCAATGACGAAGCAGCGTGGTGGGCCTGCGGGAACACACACCATCCATGCTTCCCGTGCCCAAATGGGAGGAAATCTGGACCCAAGTTGACTATCAGGCCCTTCGTGCCCGACTGATCCTCGCTGCGCTTGAGGCAAAAACGCCACGGATTAAAAACACTGGCATCTTCGTAAATGGCGTCGTCGAAGTGTCGGAGGTACGAGCCTGCGCCGACATTGCTTCCAGCGGGAATCACTGTCCCATCAGACAGCACGAAGTCCTTGAGGGCCTTGCGATTTACAGAGGCTGTCAGGGCTATCAGCTGAGGCGGCGCACCCAAAAAATGCAGTACATACAACTGGATGTCGACATCCGCAGGACCTCCCTCACGAAGCTGTCGATCTTGTACATCTTGTCGATGGCTGACTTTGTCCAGCCTTCCTCTTGAATGACTGCCTCGACTTCTGCTCTGAGCGGATCCACGTACGCCGCCAAGTGATACATGATTTGTGTAAGAATCTGCAATGCCAAGGTCCAAGAGCGAACCCAAACAGAACAATCAGCAAGCGGGCTTGAAATGGGACGGTTTTGACTTGCCGTGGTAGTCGTATGGACAGCTGCGAAGTTGACAGACAAGATGCGCAACACGAGGGGACGAACTGATCGTTCATGGGGCGGCGCATTGTCAATGAGCCACTGCAGCATGTCGTTCTGCAGCGACCGTGAGCATCAGTCACATAGGTCATCCCGACATGCTTACAGGTCTATCTGTCCACTTGTCTCCTAATTCACCGTGCTTGCCCAAACGCTCGAGTATAGCGGGTCCAAGGTGGACTATACCCTCGTCGATGTTTGTAGGTACATTGGTGCAGAAGCGTGCTATGAGGCTGTAATGCGGCCAATTCATGACTTGAAATGCCCCAGACTTTTCAATCAATACTCACGGTCTAAGAAGCGCAGGGAAGAGTTTGAGGACCAACGCCCCCTTGACTACGTCCATAGTGAACCTTTCGTTGAGGTCGCAGTAATCCGCGTTCCTGCCTAGACGTGTGTCGAAGACCATCAGAGAAGGCAACGGGCGAACGAAAGTGGCAAGTCTTACACATTGGTAAACCAACAAAAACGCGATTGCTGGTCCTGCAGACTACTTTGATGAACGAATCCTTCACCCCAACTTCCTTCCAAGCTGTCGGTAATGTGCGTCAGTCCGAGCTATTTGCGCGGGATGAGTATAACTTACAGCTATCCTCAACACATATCTCTTCGCTCACTGCGGTGACCAGCTCATCGTGCATCTCCGGGAAGAAGCGATTGATATTGCGTGTGAGCTGGCCTCGTATGAGCGCATTGTGCCATTGATGGTGGTGTATCTCCGGTCCCATGGTGTAGACAATCTGCGTCATCTGGACATACCATGAGAATTGTTTTAACGAAACAGACCATGAAAGGCTACCGACATCGTTGACAGACTCGGCGAGGGAGAGAACATCATCAGACGCCCTTGCAATTTCCTCGATGTGTTGAGGATTGGTTACTATGATACGCCAGCCCGCTGGCTCTGCGTATTTGAACAGTCTGCCGCGGTACTGGCCGCTGTATTGAAATGCACCAAATATATACCATTGAGCATGCACATACCTTGTTGTATCCTTCTCGACTGATGGAAGCAATCCGTGATATATTCCGCACGATAGAGTAGTGGTATAGGATAGGCAGAGACGATCCGCCTACAGTCGGTATTGCGCGCAGCTACAGCATTCAGTCAGATTGATAGCGAGATGGGGTTGATGGGGCGGTCACTGGGATACGCACTTTTTGATCAGAGATTGCCCTCAGGAGCGCAATCAGGTAAAGTGCTGTTGACGCAGTCAGCGCATATATCAGCAGGTCCGAGCTCATCGCCGTTTTCTCTCTCGCTGTAAAGGACGGGAACAGAGATGGGCAGGGGAAACGACCGAGAGGGAGAACGAATCGCACCTGGCTGATATTGGTGTATTTGACCTGTCCGAAAAAAAGGCTAGTCTGGATTCGCTTTCACATTGGCAGCTGTAGCGCATCATTGCATTCAAGATGCTGGGTCCTCGTGGAGTGCGCTGATCCTTCGGCATGATATGGAAGATATGCAAGGCACCCGATCATTGTCTAAGTTATGCTTGTCCGGCTTTGGGTCCCTCACCTGTATCACATCTCGGTACAGATGGGACATGTGAGAAGTGAGCACGACATTTCCAACGTCACCCTGATATCGTACAAGGGTGCAGCATTTACTCCCACAGCCAAGGGCAAGGGTCCCGCAAAAACTGCTGAATCACGGCAGCACAACCGTTATCGCATCAAGCCACCAACAGTTGTGTTATTGATACCCTCAAAATGCGTAACAAATCAAATCAGCTGTACGTACAGCGGCTGCGGAGTCGCATCCAGTACATCTGTGGACGCCACTACGTATCATAACATTAGAAAGATAGGAGAGACTTCAACTGGTTGCACATACCAGAGGAAGCTGCGAATCCAGGGAGGGCCTATCGTGGCAGCAAACACAGAACGCATTAGGAGTTCATAAGCTCTTGTTGAATTCAAACCTGTGTCCAGTTGATTCCATGTCATTAGACCGGCTCGAACATATTTATTTGTGCTGCCAATACATTGGGATGTGCGGGCAGTTGTCGCAACGTATTGGTGCACCTTTGAGCACTGACAAGCCTGTTAGGTCATCGCCGAGTACGAGTGAGTACGGCAATTGTATATTAGCGGGAGACACGTACGTACCAGCACAAGATAGATTTGCATGTCGACGTTGTCCTCCGTATGAAGCCCGATTGGGTGCGATATTTGCGGCATAATTGGTCGACGTCAGTACTCAAAACATAAATACAAAAGCAGCTGGCGCGTAATGTGTCTCGAGTGATGACAAGGGAAGACGAGACACGATACGCGACACTCGGGACATCTACGTAGCGCAACGCATATATGCAGGGTCCCATGTCGTACGTTGCCACGGGTACATTGTAATCGGCTGGAACAATGTGTTGGTCTCTCTAGCGTGCTTCTCATCGCACAGCCTGTGTTGGCAAGTGTTGCATAAGATTAAGCCACACATACGATGACCCCAAGGCTTGCTTGCACTACGCGCAGACGTAAAATGCACCACAGGACTGTGGCGCATTCACGTCTACGTGCCATGCGCACTCCAAGCCGGTAGTCAATCAGGGGTATGTGTAGTGTTATAAATGTATATTGCAGCCCACCAGGTGTTTCATCCCTGTGCCGACTCATCAACCAAATGCTCACCGAAGCTTGCAAACATCGCTCGACTTGATTGCCAGCGGGGAAAGCACGCTACGTTGTCAGGCACTGCCCATGTTGCGAAGTGCAATATCGTTAGGTCGTCGAGCAACTCGATGAGGATGGCATCGAATGCCATCCAAGCCATAGAATCCGGCACACAGCAAGCAACAAGAACAAACTCGTTCGAAGTCGTTGGAGTCAAGTTCATAAGCGCCCAGCATGCCGTATTCTCCCACGAGTCTGTGTCTGGTTTCCTGTCGCGCGTCGATCGTTCATTTCGACAACCGTCGCAATCCTTGTCGCGTTCTACAGTTTGGTAGCTCTCTCAGGGAACGAATGCCTTTATTCAAATTCTGATTCTGATGATGTCCTGAAACTACACAGTTTTGATAGGCATCTGCTGACCTTTCATACTCATGTAGACGGCATCATTGCGAAGTGGCTGCTATCTAGACATCTTGTGACAGATATAATGGTATAAAAGGCCCGCGATTTGTATGCTTCTCTCGACAAAATCCTTGTTCGACGACCCTATGCCAGCTTGGGGTTGTACCAGTATCGCGTGCTACGGATGTACTTGGTGCGTGGAAGTTGTTAATCTGCGATCGTCTCATGACTGTTTAACGGTTTGTTGTAGATGTCATAGCTGGTAATCCACGTCGGCCAACGCACCGCCGTGGATAGGCATCACAAGTGTGCTCATGCTGCCAGCCATGTTCTGAGCTTTTGTCTCAGAGCCAATGTTTTGAGCATGATATGGAGACTGTTGCTCGTCAGTCGATTTTGTGTCATCAGCGGAGCCTATATAGGGGCTGTGAAATGATTTTATCCGAAGTCACTATTTTTGAGCATTGTTCGGTCGCTGTTGCACTGACATCGCTACTCAGTGCCATGTAGAGAAGCCACGACAGGGAATCAGTGGCGCAAAATCTTTACTGGTCATCGCGTGTGGATACAACGGGTCCTGGGTGGGTGATCATTTCGGTACGACAGAGCAGGGCCCTCTATGCGGTTCATCCAAGTAAGGCAGGAGGCTTACCGGAAATGGACGAGGATGCCCAATGACGTCGTCGTCTTCCTTTCATCATAGCCCACTACCTGTCAATGACGTGCTGTCCATCTCGACGGGCTCATAAATACCGGGGCTTTTCTCATTTTCTCGTCCATCTCCCTTTCCCTCGTCCTCCACAATGACCAGTGCAATTACGAACGCCGCTATGCAGGTCTTCACTGCTGCCACGCAGACCGCTAAGATCGCAGACCTCCAAAGAGACATAATCGACCCGTCCACGAAGCCGACAAAAGGGCTCACAAACGACCATGGTGTCTTCGTCTCCGACACCGACAACTGGTGCGCACGGTCCATTTCGCTGACATCACAATCATCTTTGGTCATTCCCCCGTCGGATATCACTGCATGCTCCATCTAGTATGATATCTAGCGCATATATGCAGCCTTTAGGCTTCCGCTTCCTCTGCTCATGGTCGAGACACCGTCGGTGTTGACGTATAATCCTTTCTAGGCTCAAGGCGCAGGACCATGGCACTGTCGGGCCATCTCTCCTGGAAGACCACGTGTGTCCAGTTCCTGCGCTGATGGTTACCATCTGCTTACGATCGCTCGTTAGATGGCCCGAGAGAAGATTCACCGTTTCGATCACGAGCGGATCCCTGAGGTACACACTCGCGCTTCATGTTACTTTGCATTTGATTTAAGTGCCCCCGACTAGCGCGTCGTGCATGCTCGCGGTGTGGGCGCTCATGGCTACTTCAAGGTGTACAACGACAGCGCTGCCAAGTACACGTATGCGCCAGTCTTGACAGACTCTTCGAGAACAACTCCGGTCTTTGCGCGATTCAGTACTGTCCAAGGGTCTCGCGGAAGCGCTGTACGCCTCTTCCTGACTTGCAAGACTGCAGTGTGTGTTGACATATGACGCCCATGAAACTAGGACACCGTACGCGACGTTCGCGGGTTCGCAGTCAAATTCTACACCCAGGAAGGAAACTGGGATATAGTCGGCAATGACATTCCAGTCTTCTTCATTCAAGATGCGATCAAGTTCCCAGACTTCGTCCACGCGGTTAAGCCAGAGCCCCACAACGAGGTGCCCCAAGGACAAAGCGCGCACAACAACTTTTGGGATTATGTGGGACTACAGCCCGAGTGTGCGTTTCTCTTTGGTAAGATTGCTAGAGTCCCTTGTCGCTGATTATCTCCTATTAGCCGCGCACATGATTATGTGGGTAATGTCCGATCGCGGCATCCCTCGGTCGCTTCGCATGATGCAAGGTTTCGGCGTCAATACATACATGTTAATGAACGCTAAAGGAGAGCGTTACTTCGTGAAATTCCACTTCCTACCGGAGCTTGGCGTTCATAGCCTGGTGTGGGACGAGGCGCTGAAATTGGCTGGGCAGGATCCCGGTGAGGGTTTTCTTTTTCGCCGCCGACTGCGTGGTGTTTATATGTCTCCTACCCGAGATTTCCATCGCAAAGACCTCGAAGAGGCGATTACAACAGGTGCTTATCCGAAGTGGAAGTTTGCTATTCAGACCATTCCGGAGGCGCGCGAGCACGACTTCGAATTCGATATTCTCGATGCGACGAAAGTTTGGCCCGAGGAGCTCATTCCTCTGGAGATTATCGGCGAGATGGTGCTGAACAGGACGGTCGATGAATATTTCCCGGAGACGGAGCAAGTCGCGTTTTGTACTTCCCATGTTGTTCCCGGTATCGGCTTCAGCAACGACCCTCTACTCCAGGGCAGGAATTTCTCTTACCTGGACACGCAGCTCACGCGCCTCGGAGTAAACTGGCAAGAGCTTCCGATAAACCGCCCTGTCTGTCCGGTTCTCAACTTCCAGCGAGACGGGCAACTCAGGCACAAGATTACGAAGGGCAGTATCAATTACTGGCCTAACCGTCAAGGTATCGGAAGGCCGGTACCTACGAGCGAGGGGGGCTACGCTGAGTCAGTCGTTTGCTGGGGGCTATTCTACTAATCTAATTTCATGACGTAGTTTCCCTCAGGCAGTTCAAGGTATCAAGCTGCGCGAGCGTGGTCACAAGTTCCAGGAATACTTTGATCAGGCGCAGCTGTTCTACAACTCTCTTGCTCCGCACGAGAAAGCACACGTCGTTGCTGCCATCTCTTTCGAGCTCAGCCATTGCGACGATCCCGTTGTGTACGAGACATACTCCAAAATCCTGAACAACATCGACTTTGACCTCGCTAGAGAAGTGGCCACCAACGTTGGCGGCATTGTTCCAGATCGACCTGCTCGTCAAAATCACGGAAAGTCGACACCGACATTGTCCCAGCTTTACTATGCGCCCAAGGAACCGACGATTGTCTCGAGGAGGATTGCGATCCTCTTAGCTGATGGGTTCTCCATGGCAGAGGTCGAAGGCCTAAGGGCTGCATTCAAGGCAGGCCAGGCGACGACGTGGATTATTGGGCCGAGACGAGGATGGATCCACCCGAAGGGGGAGGGCTCGGGATCTAGCGTAGGTGTATGGGCTGACCATCACTTCGAGGGACAAAGGAGTACGATGTACGATGCATTTATCATCCCGAGCGGTCCCGAACATGCGCAAAACTTGGCGCAAAACGGCAGGACTGTTCATTGGATTAGGGAGGCGTTCGGTCATTGCAAGGCGATCGGTGCGCTGGGTGAAGGTGAGTCGCCATATCTCGCTGCCGCTACGACGGGGCCCCAGGCTGATCTGAATCCCAGGAGTGACCTTCTTGCGCGAGGCTGTCCAGCTTCCAGGAGTGCAATTTGCCCATGATCTCAGGAGCAACTCCGTCACGAACTCGTACGGCGTTGTTACCGCGGGGACCTATGACGCGGGGTCGATCGTCGCTGATACTCTGAGGATCGAGCAAGACAGCAAGGGCTTCATCTCCACATTCGCGTTGGCGGTCAGCAAGCATCGCTGCTATGAGCGCGAGCTGGAGGGATTGACTGCGAAGGTAGCATACTAAGACAGAATGCCATGGGTCGGTGAATCCTGTAGTAGTGCTGCAATCGGGCTTTTTTTAGAGGTGAAAATACTGGTGTGCATGTCTTGCTTACGGACTAAAGTAGGGCCCCGAATGCAAGAGACACCGGCCGTGTTTCTGCCTGGCGGCATGGCGGCACAGGACAGACCCTGTCGCCGCCGTCAGTCCCCGGATGGGTTCGGGTAAGTGGGAGTTGCCTGATAAGGAACATGCGCGTTGACGGACACCATGCGGCGCTTAGTAAGCGCGGATTTTACGAGCCGATCGCGTCGTCCGTGCTACGGTTCTTCCGAATCAAAAATAACATCAACGCCATCGATGGGCCCCTGGTCGTATTGGGAAAGTCAGCTGCGCTGGCCGTTTGCAGCGCGCTCGCCGCACAGACCACCGCCAAAGCGGGAGCCAGCCGCATTAACGGGGTGCTTGTGCATAGCAGCGGTAAGTGTGCTTCGATCAGACGCAGACGCCGATGGTCGGGCAGAGCAGAACATGCGGATACTCCGATTACCGAGGAGCGGATGGGCCCGCCGCTGCCAACGGACGTTCCTGGGCTGTGCAGTCGACCGAACGACGACCGCCACCGACGAGGTCGCTCTGTGCAGGGCCACAGCTAGCCCGCGAGTGTTTTAGTAATGGGGTGCGGTAGATGTCGTACAGGCAGACGGCGGGTGCGCCCCATTGCAGACACCCCGACGGCAGCGATCGGTCAGATTCGGCATTGGAGGCTTGCCGGAGGGACGGGCGGCTAACTGAGACTCGGGCGTTGCGCTTCCGAAGAGGGGGCCACATATATATATATACCCTCACACCACGCTGGTCCTCGTCCATTCCTCCCCCCCCAACCATATCCCTCGCTCCTGCGTGTCGTGTCAACCCCCACTTCGCGCTAGCGATTTCCTTGGACCCTTCCGGGTTTTCTCCCGTCTCCGCCCTTCCCCACCTCTTCGTCAAGCACCTCCTCGATGTCCGAACCAACTGAGAAGATCGCCGGCTCCACAGAGCCGGTGGTAGACTCCAAGCAGCCTGGTACTCCCGATGCCCCCGAAAAGAAGAAACGGGAGTACAAGGACTTTGGTCACGAAGAGGAAGAGGTTACACGTGTGTATTTTTTTTGCTCGTGTGCTTCTTTCGTGTTCTCTTCGGTGCTGATCATGACGTTGTCTACAGACGCCAAAGTGGATATGTCCCAGATCCAGCTTCGTGCTGAGGACTTGTATGACAAGGAAAAGGTCGATCTCGAGACCATCGGTGTCGACGATGTCTTCAAGCTTCTCCAGTGCGACGACCAAGGCTTGACTCCTGAAGAGGCCATTCGCCGTCTCGAGCTGTTCGGTCCTAACAGGCTTGAAGCGGAAGAACAAAACCCTTTCCTGCAGGTAAGCTCTCTCATCAACCATGTCCTCTCCATCGTCGCTAATATTCCTGCCCTAGTTCCTCGGTTTTATGTGGAATCCCTTGTCTTGGGTCATGGAGGGTGCCGCTCTCGTTGCTATCGCTCTGTCCAACGGCGAGCACATGCCCCCTGACTGGGAGGACTTTGTCGGTATCATTCTACTTTTGCTCATCAACTCGGCCATCGGTTTCTACGAGGAGCGTAACGCTGGTAACGCCGTCAAGGCTCTCATGGACTCGCTTGCGCCGAAAGCCAAGGTCAGGCGTGGCGGTACATGGAGTGAAATCGAGTCGTCCGACCTCGTCCCTGGTGATATGGTCTCGTTCAAGATTGGTGACGTTGTCCCTGCGGACTGTCGTCTGACTGAAGCCATCAACGTCTCCATCGACCAAGCTGCGCTCACCGGCGAGTCTCTTCCTCAGAGCAAGAAGACGGGTGACCAATGTTTCTCGTAAGTTGCGCCCGTGTTATATGTAATCCCTATGCTTATGTTTGCCGCAGTGGTTCTACCTGTAAGCAGGGTGAGGCCGAGGGTGTTGTCATCTCCACCGGTCCCAACACGTTCTTCGGTCGCGCTGCGTCGCTTGTCGGTCAAGATGACGACTCCACTGGCCATTTGCAGAAGGTCCTTGCCCAAATCGGTACCTTCTGTCTTGTCTCCATTGGTATCTTCGTCATTGCCGAGATCTTCTGCTTGTACGCTGGCTTCCGCTACCAGTATCGTCGTGGCCTCAACAACATCCTGGTGCTCTTGATCGGTGGTATCCCCATTGCCATGCCCACCGTTCTGTCCGTCACGCTCGCCGTCGGTGCCCAGCAGCTCGCGAAGTACAAGGCCATCGTCACTCGTATCACTGCCATCGAGGAGCTTGCCGCCGTCACCATCTTGTGCTCTGACAAGACTGGTACGCTCACCACGAACAAGCTCACCATTGATCGCGAGACCGTTCGTACATATGGTCCCTTCACCTCAGAGGACGTCATTCTTCTGGCTGCCTACTCATCGCGTACCGAGAACCAGGATGCCATCGATGCTTGTGTCGTCGGCGCCCTTGGCGACACCTCTCGTGCCCGCGCTGGCATCAAGCTCCTCGACTTCAAGCCTTTCAACCCCGTCGACAAGCGCACGGAGATCACCTACCTCGAGGAGTCTTCCGGCAAGCTCAAGCGTGTCACCAAGGGTATGACCGGTATCATCATCGAGCTCTGCACACGTAACAAGACGGACGAGATCGAGAACCGCCTCGAGGCTGACGTCGAGGAGTTCGCCATGCGTGGTCTTCGTGCTCTTGCAGTTGCGTTTGAGGAGGTTGATGGCACCGACTATGAGGCTGAGGGTAACGGCTTTGAGCTCATTGGTCTTCTGCCCATCTTCGACCCTCCTCGTGAGGACACCAAGCAGACCATCGACGATGCCCAAGCCCTCGGTGTTCGCGTCAAGATGGTTACCGGTGATCAGCTCGCCATTGCGAAGGAGACCGGTCGTCGTCTCGGCCTCGGTGACCACATGTACCCCGCCAAGGTTCTCAAGGACGGCCCCGCGCCCGGAGGCAAGCACGGTTCGCTTGACGAGATGATCCTCGACGCCGACGGCTTCGCTGGAGTCTTCCCCGAGCACAAGTACGAGATTGTCAAGCGTCTCCAGGGTCTCGGCCACTTGGTTGCCATGACTGGTGACGGTGCCAACGACGCGCCCGCGCTCTCGCGTGCCAACGTCGGTATCGCCGTCGAGGGTGCTACCGATGCTGCCCGTGGTGCCGCCGACATCGTGCTCACGGAACCTGGTCTGTCGACGATCGTGCACGCCATCCGCGGTTCGCGTATCATCTTCCAGCGTATGCGCAACTACTCCATCTACGCGTGCGCCGTCACCATCCGTATCGTCGTCTGCTTCGCCATCCTTGCCTTCGCGTTCAAGTTTGACTTCCCGCCTTTCATGGTTCTGGTCATCGCCCTGCTCAATGACGGTACCATCATGACCCTCTCGGTTGACCGTGTGTTGCCTTCGGACACACCGGACAGCTGGGACCTTGCTGAGATCTTCTCATATGCTGTCGCATACGGTCTCTACCTCACGGCCTCTACGTAGGTCGTCTATGATTCTTGAGCCATAACAGAAAAGCTAACTGCCTGCCATTCAGGATTGCCCTCGTCGCTATCTGCATCAAGACTGACTTCTTCTGGCGCAAGTTCGGCGTCGTGTTTGAAGGCGGCGCGACGATGGCCACGAACCACAACGACCGCATCTTGCACTCGATCGTCTACCTCCAGGTTGCGATCATTTCGCAAGCACTGATTTTCACCACGCGTTCTCACAGCTTCTTCTTCATGGAGCGCCCCTCAGTCGCGCTCTTCTGTGCCTTCTGTATCGCCCAGCTCATCTCGACCATCATTGCTGTGTATGGCAACTGGGGCTTCACGGACATCCACGGCATCTCTGGTGGCTGGGTCGGTATTGTCTGGGTTTGGGTAAGTCCTCATTGTTGTGCGAAGGTGTCCCTGGTGTTAATTTCGCCGTGCAGGACATTGTCTGGTTCGTGCCCCTCGACTGGATCAAGTTTGCGATGAAGGCGACGGTCATCAAGAAGCTGCGCTCGCGCCACAACGAGGCGGTCGCGCAGGCTGCCAAGGCCTCCGCCTCCGGCGTCCCCGCGACCCGCACGACCTCGCGCGTCGAGTCCCTGTATGCGAACCGCACGTCGTTCCTCAGCCGCGCGGCACGCAAGGTTGGTCTCGGCCAGAAGATCTCCGTCAACCCCGAGGAGCTGCAGCGCTTCAGCAGCATCCAGGCACAGCGCGCCGGCCAGACGCTCGCGCGCAACCCCTCGCGTGCGGCTGCATAGACGCGCTTGGAGGTTAGGAGTGTGGTGGATAGACTCAGACTCACGTAGACTGGCTGTGGTCGTCTCTCCCTTGCGCATATACCTCGCATCCTACAGCTATTTACCCATCGCGATCTCTCGTTGCCACCATCAGTAATACTGTATCACTTATCGTAGGACCTTGCCTAGAGTTCCTTCGTACGTTAGACATTAGAAAATAGGGATATCAATAATACATGAGTACTAGTGTTTTGAGTTGTGTTTTCTTGCTGGTGCCGGTGGCCCGTATGCACTTGTTTGTTCAAGGCCAGACCAGTAACTCCTTTGTCTGTCACTGCTACTTCACACCAGTCTAGACTGCGCTATACCCGGGTACCCGGAGCCCACGCAGGTTGAAAGGGTTTTTTGCTCGCAGGAGACTGTGTCGCGTATGTCGGGTCGGGTCGCTGATCCTAGTACCCGACCATTGCTTCCGAATTCCGCATCAATCCCGCGTGCGCACAAATTAGTATGCAGGAGATGGTCTAACGACATGGAATCAACTGGACACAGGTTCGAATTCGACAAGAGCTTATCAACTCCCAATGTGTTCTCCGTGTGCTGCCACGATAAGCTGTCCCTCAACTTTGGGGCATGCTCATCTTGCAACACGGCTGGTCGCAGAGCGCTGTGGCGGCGCCGCTGTAACCCCGCCTCCCTGTAGATGTCCAGAAGCAATGACCCCACCAAAATTGACGCACCTAGCTCTCGGCGGACAGCCGGGGCCGGGCCGTCCCTGGATTCGCAGCTTCATTTAGCATGTGCAACCAGTTGAAGTCCCTCCAACTTTCCCAATGCTATGATATGTGGTGGCGCCTGCACAGTGCAGACTGTTAAAGTTCGTCCGAGACCCGAAGCGAGAACGATCAACAAAGATATATCGCGTTTGTCTGAGCTCTGTCAAACGCGTAAGGAACATACAGGATGGCTCGCGCAAAGTCTGCGAGGTACTACAAACAATGCCAAATACGGTGGCATGCGCTCGCCACAATCTCAAGTTCCAACACAGACGCACTGGATGCGACTCCGCAGCCGCTGTACGTACAGCTCAATTGATTTATTACGCAGTTCGAGGGTATCAATAACACAACTGTTAGTAGCTTGATGCGATAGGTTGCGCTACCGTAATTCAGCCTTTTTTGCGGGACCCTTACCCTTGGCTGTGGGAATCGACGCTGCATCCTCGTACGATACCAAGGAGACATTGGAAATGTCGGGCTTGCTTCTCTGCTACATGTTCCATCCGTACCGAGATATGGTGCAGGTGAGGGATGCAGAGCCGGACAAGCATAGCTTACAAAATGATCGGGTACCTTGCATATCTTCCATATGATGCCAAAGGACGAGCGCGCTCGACAATGACTCGACATCTTGAATGCAATGATGTGCTACAATTGCCAATGTGAAAGCGAATCCAGACTAGCCTTTCTTTTTCGGACAGGTCAAATACGCGAATATCAGCCAGGTGCGGTTCATTCTCCCTCTCGGTCGTTCTCCTGCCCAACTGTGTTCACGTTGTTTACAGCGAGAAACGGCAATGATGAGTTCAGCTTTGCTGGTATATGCGCTGTTTACTTCAACAGTATTTTACCTGATTGCGCTCCTGAGGGCAATCTCTGATCAAAAAGTGCGTATCCCAGTGACCGCCCCATTAACGCTATCTTGCTATCATTCTGACTATATGCTGTAGCTGCGCGTAATACCGACTGTAGGCGGGTCGTCTCTGCCTATATTGTACCACTACTCTATCGTTCGGAATATATCACGGATTGCTTCCATCAGTCGAGAAGGATACAACAAGGTATGTGCATGCTCAATGGTATATATTTGGTGCATTTCAATACAGCGGCCAGTACCGCGGCAGACTGTTCAAATACGCAGAGCCAGCGGGCTGGCGCATCATAGTAACCAATCCTCAACACATCGAGGAAATTGCAAGGGCGCCTGATGACGTTCTCTCCTTTGCCGAGTCCGCCAATGACGTCGGTAATCTTTCATGGTCTATTCAGTTCAGTCCATTCTCATGGTATGTCCAGATGACGCAGATTGTCTACACCATGGGACCGGAGATACACCACCATCAATAGCACAATGCGCTCATACGAGGCCAGCTCACACGCAATATCAATCGCTTCTTCCCGGAGATGCACGATGAGCTGGTCACCGCAGTGAGCGAAGAGATATGTGTTGAGGATAGCTGTAAGTTATACTCATTCCGCGCAGATAGCTCGGACTGACGCACATTACCGACAGCCTGGAAGGAAGTTGGGGTGAAGGATTCGTTCATCAAAGTAGTCTGCAGGACCAGCAATCGCGTTTTTGTTGGTTTGCCACTTTCGTTCGCCCGTTGCCTTCTCTGATGGTTTATGACACACGCGTAGGCAAGAATGCGGATTACTGCGACCTCAACGAAAGGTTCACTATGGACGTAGTCAAGGGCGCATTGGTTCTCAAACTCTTCCCTGCGATTCTTAGACCGTGAGTGTCGATTCTGAAGTCTGGGGCATTTCAAGTCATGAATTAGCCGCATGACAGCTTCATAGCACGCTTCTGCACCAACGTACCTACAAACATCGACGAGGGTATAGTCCACTTTGGTCCCGCTATACTCGAGCGTTTGGGCAAGCACGGTGAATTAGGAGACAAATGGACAGACAGACCTGTAAGCATGTCGGGATGACCTATGTGACTGATGCTCACGGTCGCTGCAGAACGACATGCTGCAGTGGCTCATTGACAATGCGCCGCCCCATGAACGATCAGTTCGTCCCCTCGTGTTGCGCATCTTTTCTGTCAACTTCGCAGCTGTCCATACGACTACCACTGTTCTGTTTGGCTTCGCTCTTGGACCTTGGCATTGCAGATTCTCACACAAGTCATGTATCACTTGGCGGCGTATCATCAGTACGTGGATCCGCTCAGAGCAGAAGTCGAGGCAGTCATACAAGAGGAAGGCTGGACAAAGTCAGCCATTGACAAGATGTACAAGATCGACAGCTTCGTGAGGGAGGTCCTGCGGATGTCGGCATCCAGCTGTATGCACTGCATTTCTTGGGTATGCCACCTAAGCTGATAGCCCTGACAGCCTCTGTAAATCTCAAGGCCCTCAAGGATTTCGTGCTCTCTGATGGGACAGTGATTCCCGCTGGAAGCAATGTCGGCGCAGGCTCGTACCTTCGGCACTTTGACAACGACATTTACGAAGACGCCAGTGTCTTTAATCCGTGGCGTTTTTATTTCAAGCGCAGCGAGGATCAGTCGGGCACGAAGGGCCTGATAGTCAACTTGGGTCCAGATTTCCTCCCATTTGGGCACGGGAAGCATGGATGGTGTGTGTTCCCGCAGGCCCACCACGCTGCTTCGTCATTGATGAGATTGCCAGTCCTGGTCGGATCTTCGCGGAAGTGGAGATGAAGGCGATTTTAGCCCATGTTGTGGTGACATATGATGTGAAGATGAAGGAGGACGGCGCACTACCGTCTTCTAGGTGGATCTTCACGGCGCTGATCCCTGACCAGAAGGCTAAGGTCTTGTTTCGGAGACGTCAAAGCTAGGTCTTCCGCCCCGGAAGGGGGGTCTGTGCATTGCCATACCGTGTAAACTCGCTATCGCCGCTCCAGTGCCGACGAGGAAAAGTAAACATCGAGGAGGATATCACGGTCAAACATTTCTATACTCACAAGCGCACGAGTACCTTGTCCCAAATTGATTTATGCTTTCCGTGCTTCCATTCTACTGCAGTCTATCTGACCTTCGAGCAGGTTGACATCATCGAGCGACAAAACAGTCCACCCACGACAAACTAGGCCGGACAGCACACTTGGGGGCGAGACTCATGATTGGCGCATTGTAGGATCTATTGTTCAGAGCTCTCTACATAGCCAGTAATACATTCATGAATGCCAGACCCGAACGCGCTCAGCTTGGGAATGGAAAAGAACAATTCGAGGTTCTGGGGTCATCGTAATGAGACGTCTACGATGTCTGCATGGTGCCAGACGTGCTCCTGGCATTGTGCAATATCAACTCGGAGTGGCTGGTGCTCGTGCCCATGCATTGCTTGAACTCGTCGCTGGTGTAGTCCTTCGTGGTCGAAGCGCGAGACAATCAACAGCGTTTGAGCCTATAGAGGTCACGTTTGACGTCGTCCCAGAAGACATCGATAAGTTTTGAATTGGCTGGATACTTCAACGAGCATATCAATGCTGTGCTATACTGGGTAGCCGGCAGGCGCCGATGATAAGTAGGCGTTTTAAGTCTCGGAATGGAATGTATTTCCCACGCGCGCATTGTTATTGGCCAGCTTGTTACTTCGAACTCATCCGCGCCCGCAACGCTGACTTGAACAGAAGTTGATTCTCGGACGTGTAATAGCCTGTCAATCTACATGCTACGAGTATGTATGCTGCACTACCAATGCCTTTCAAGGCATCTGGCCTCAGAGTAACACAACGGTCAGGCGCGGGACGCAGAGTTTCTGGCACGCTTAGCTCGGACTTCAGCACGGCCATCAGCGTAAGCCATGTTCAATGTAATGTCGTCGAGCATCTACATGATGACCCTTGCGGCTCAGCGTCCACCTCAATATGCCAACTCCATCATCACCCTCGATGCATCTCGTCTTGATTCACGCGACGTCATCACACTATATGGGCCGGTGTCCCAAGTCTGGGACCGCAAGATGTTGGCCCGCCGCACAGAACCAACAGTGGGGGGATCATGGTGGAATTCGCGGGGCCACACTCCAGATCGCAAGGCAGGGAACGGCGCTCTCACGCAGCTTCTTACCGGTTCGCCCTGGCTGAGTAGTGCTACTTCAACGGGAACCAGTCAATTGCCGCATGAAACGAAGGGCTGGCTCTACTACTCCCTCTCGTCCTCCCACTGCTGGTTTCCGACTCCTCCCTCCTACAGGCGAGCTCGACTGTGCTTCCGGCACTGATCTCTCTCTGCGTTCCGGCCACTTACCGTACGCCATACGTCTGATGGATATCGCAACGAGGATCAATTACCGTATGCTTGCCAATGTCCTGCTGAGAGACCAGCTGGTATCCCAGGACCTCTTGTAACGTTGCAAGAAACAAACAGATGTACACTTCGTTCGCCGCACGTCTCAACAGTTTTTCTTTCACATCGAGGACCCGTTCATACTAAATCTCTCCAACTCCACATTCACGCCGTATGTTTGGCTAGACGAGGACTTAGTTCGAAGTCCACGTTTGCGCGATCAGTGGCGGGACAGCAGGAAACATATGCCCAGCCCAACGTACACCGGTGAGCGTGTAAAAACGACGGGTGGACCTGCATATTAACCCCTCCTTGGTGTATAGGCCAAATACTCTGTTGCTTCGAGCGATCTACGCTTCCAAAACATGCGAAAAAACGAGTCGTAGTATTGCGTGTCCTGGAGATCGTCGAGCCAATACGTCCCGCCATACCGGACTACGATGGTCACTTCAAACCACCCGTGGAAGGCGCCTTGCTTCAGAGAGGCCGAAAGCCGGTTTCCATAGATCTTGACGGTGTTCAGTTCAAGGGTGCTTCTAATCCATTGAAGGTGCTGTACGATCGAGCGTACAGTCCACAAACCGATATTGTATCATGAAAATGCGATGGATCTCTTACTAGATGTGGCTTGTGCCACTACGAAGGAGAAGCAAGAGGCCATGGTAAACGCAGCGAACGCACCGGCCTTTGAGGACGTTTCCATGGATTGTTCTCGGCGCAAGTCATGGGATGATGTAGCTGATAAGCCTGCTCACGACTAGCTCCAACAATGAATACATGTATCATCGCTTACACGCCATGAGGGCCACGGGCCCAACAAGGACTTCTCCGTCTTGTGTCGAAGCACTAAGTAGTCTCGGGCCAGTGAAGGCGTAGTATGGGGGTATAGTACCCAGAGCTGTGCATGTGAGCTATAGTGGAGTATCAATAATATACTCGATGGAGTGCGAGAAAGGCTCCAGACAGTAAAGAACTCTGACCGATTTGGATGGGGCTGATTCATGCGGCCAGTTATATGGGCGCTTGAAAACTCGACGACGACTTGTGCTACACCAATCTTCGTTTGGACTCTGTGACTTGAATAGCACTCGATATAATTCTCTTCGAGTTGCTCAACAGTCCAGCTTTTCGTGCTGGCATTCAAATCGAGCGGTGGTTGCATGCCTCGATAAGGGTTTAGTTGAAGATACTAACATGTCGTGCCAGCTGCATATGCTGCGCTCGTTGTAATATACGGCAGCATAAATGCTATAGCGACACAGAGACAGTCTCGAATGTCGCGTGTCATGTCTCGAGGGCGCACCATCTTCCCTTTTCACCTCTCTAGACGCATCATGCACCAGCTGCTTCTCTTGGATGTATTTTGACTCGTCTCTTCCGTCTCTTCCGTCTCGATTGCGTCTCATCTTCTGCTCCTGCCTCGTACATGATCTACAGACAACACAAACCTAGACACTGAAATTCCACTAATCCGCCCATACCGTCCCATTCATTGACACCACGAATTGCCCTCAGTCTCTTCTGAGGCAATTCCATGTACCGCTGATCGCCCGGATACTCGCCCGATGACATCGGTGCTTACTGTCACTGTCCCATGTCAGGTTCTTGATGTTCACAGATGTTTCCATATACTGGGTTCACCGGTGGGAGCACAATCCGCGCTGGTACAAATGGCTGGACAACGAAGTAGACCACCTGTCCACCGAATCCTACATAAGGTTCCTCTCAGACTATATCCTGCGCGCCTTTAAAGACCAAGCCATTATCCTTGCATCCCTATCGCCTCGTATATGAACATCGTCTTGCGTTACTATTGTCCAACTTCGCTTGTTATAGTAGACGCACGATAACACTTCAAGTAGCACGGGATAAAGGTGTGCATTTGGTCCCAAAACTCATTTTACAACCGTCAAATTGATGTCTGATCAGTCGTAAGAAACAAGGAGTCTGATCCACAAACATGTCAGTGAACGGTTCCAATATTGGGAGGGTAGCGAGAGTACTCACCATCCAAATTGATGTCGGGATTATACTCAGGGGAAAAGAGATAAGTCGCAACGCGTTCACCTACGAAGTCATTCACGCGCTCTGGCACCATGCGTCCGCTGGTTTTTGACTCCTTCATTCTCCACCAGCGCCAGCTCGGCTCGCAAGGAAACCCGCCGGTGGGAAATATAGGACGCTTCTCGATGTCTCTGTCAAAGCTGAGGGCAAAGCATCGCAGTGAGGGCATATGGATTGCGATGAGCGCGGCATAGCGTTCCTCGAAATTGGATACGTCTACCGGATACAAACCGTGGATCATGATGCAAATGACGTCGGTCTCGGCACATCCTTTCAGCATATGTTGCTAAGTGCACAGCTTGGGTCAGCACATTACGCTATATGTATGTCCCGCGCATAAAGACGCACCATCCATGCAAACGGGTTCACCACAATATCCGTCATGCCGAAGACAATGACACGAACCCGCCCCGCGACATCTTTCAAAATGCTCCAGGAATTCGACTCGCGGAAAGACGCCTGATGACCGAGAGGATTATCGTACTTGAATGTGAGCACTGCAGGAGCTGTGCGCATAAGCAAGTTCACTGCGTCCTCGGCAAGACAGGGTGCATCGTCGCTATGCAGCAGCTGCAGATGGTGCGTTGTACACGATAGACCCGATTCCAGTAGCGGCCTAGGCCACCCCGAGACAGTATCCAGCCTTGGCCAGCCGGGGAGGGGCGTCTCCAGCAGGTCCACCTCCGGCTCGTCCACCGAGCGCCACGGAGAGGTGAGTACGTGGATGTGCCGCAACTCAGGGAATGCACGCTGAAGCAATATGGCGTGCGGCCTCGTGCAGCGCCACAGATCGACCTCGAGATAGCGCACGTTTATACATCGCCACGCGGGGAGCGGAGCGTCGGCGTCCCCGGCAGGCGCAAGTTTGCTGAGCGCGATTCTGACGGAGTGCACGGCCTCGTGCGGCGCGAGGCTTTTGACGGTCTGCAGAAGGCTGATCGGCTGCCCCCGAGATGGTCTATCCACATCTCGCGTCCTGGGCTGGTTGCAGATCCCGATGGAGAGCGGCCTGCTGTGCATGTGGTGGATGACGCCGAGTGTGTGATATCCGGCGTCGTGGAACTCAACGTGCGCCAGGTTATCTATGTTCACCAAGGCTGCAGCGACCTCGCTCGACCCCTGGATCCACGACTCTGCGAAGTCGAGTGACAGGTGTCGCACATTTTTCGCGCTTATGAGGAGCACCGCAAGCTGGGGTGCAAAGACGACACGTCTTCCTACCGCCCCTGAGAACGTGAGATCGAGCTCTCGCACCAGAAGCAGCAGATCGGAGGCGACCCCTAAAGGTGTGTAGAGCATGCAAGCCTTTTCGAGCATGGCGCTATTCATGATATGCAGCTGTCTATGCACGCGACGCCTCGCCGCGATATAGAATCTCCGTGAGGTAGCCGACATAGAACGTGCGTCCTGGAGTGGCAGGTATTCGGCTATTTTTTGCAGTATACTTGCAGTGCTTATGAGCTGTTCAGAAACGACAGAGAGACGAGCCATGGTGCCGTAAAGTCTCAGGTTTGCTGATCGCTCGGGTTAGATACGTTGTGCGAATAGATGGAGGAGGGATAAGGTTGAAAAGGGTGTGGCCTATGGCGGTGTTTACATGCGACGCCGCCACAATGGCCTGACGCGCACGTGAGACGCGGTGGAACATTTGTGCAGGGCGCTGGTGGCTCGTTAACAAACACACGCACCGGAGTTCTCCGCGCGCATCTTGCATGACAGACAGCGTTCGTACTTTGTACTGACCATGATGCGCGCTTCTCTACACAATCTCGCGCAACCTCCAGGTGAACACGGAGAGGCTTGTGTAGTCCTTTTGCCGTGTCTAGATACATCAACGTTACGGCCTATTCGGCACTGTGACTGTGTCGAACGCTGTGCTTGCTCTCCCTTCAGAGAGGTTACAGAGTACTCCTGTTGAATATGAAGGGCCACGTCGATACAGGTGCGGGAAGTACGAGCATCGCTTCAAGTTATACTAGCCGATATTGTTAGGATGGTGTCATTATGATCCGCTGCCTTGCCTCGACAGTGTACTGCGTGTAAGCTGAGCAATATGCAAGAATCAAGGGAGTCACGATGCGCCATAAAAAGCAGGTGTTTCATGTAGGAGGATAGAGAAAGCGATCAGCTAAGGCGGCAAGAATATGCGCGAAAATCTGCAGCATTCATCGTGGTGTCTTACACTTTGGCACAAAGATGATAAGTTTAGCAGAATTCCTATGATCTTTGTGTACTAGGTCAGGTGAGAGAGAGAGACAGCTTGCAAAAGAGGGAGAACGTACAAAGCTAGAGGGCAACGGATTCTCGAAGTTTGTGATACTGCTTTGAGATATTCAGCGCAGAATTCAAGCCACGGGCATGTATGCTGTTGATGGGTGTAGTATATGAGGATGCTTGATGCAAGTATATGCGGCGGACGCGACTTAGCGTCGGGAACCACTTGCTAGGGGGTGAGTACCGTATTTGGAAGTCGATCAAAGATGATATTATTTCCGTGCACTGTGACTGCGGGCGTCAGACGTGCACTTAGTGCCCTTTTCGCGACCAACAGCGACAGTGGCTCTTCTGCCGGTGAGCTGTGGGTTGTGGCGCCTCGCTACGTGTGCAGCTCATTGGGGATCTTGATCTGATACGAGCCTATTCGAGCCATCATGCGCGGCGCGAGACATAATGTGACAGTGTCACTCAAGCAGACATACACTACCGTGTTCGAGACATCATACGCTTTACATACACTGCATGCAGGGATCAATTTTCTTGCACAAAACATTGCATCAAAATTAAATTACAAGCGAATAGCACCTATTAGATTTTATTGATGTAGAAATCAAATGAAGATTGAATGAAAATCAAAGAAAATTTGAAAGAGACAATAGAAAATGGATTACATAATCGCTTTTTCTTCGATTTCATTTCCATATTAGGCGCTGGAATATTGATCAGGTAAATTCACTTTTCTTTTGATTTTTATTTGATTTCTTGTACCAGAAAATTGAATACTGCATGCAGTGATAACGTATCTAGGTTGACCAACTTCCCTTGATTCCGTTTGTTACTCGTACTTGGAAGAAGTCTGCTCGGCAACTTGCGTCAGTGTTTTTACGGGCCCTGTAAAGCGGTAACGTCCCCAGAACAGCCAACAAAGACCGACCAAGACGATGACCCCGCCAATCGCCACAATCGCATAGTTCATATTTAGCGCGTTTACCGGATATGAAGTTGGGAGAATGAAGAGCACGCAGATGAACACAGAGAACTCCGGATGAAAATGATACGTCGATGGCAGTCGTATTACCACTGCACTGAAGAGACATACCAAGAAGCTCGCGAAGTTCACTGCCCAAGACCAACGACCTAGATTGAACGGGCCTCGCTCAGGCAGGCTACTGCGATCATATATGCGCGATATTTCAGTCACTTGGTCGAATTGTGACGAAATTTCAAACATACGTCGAGGGCCAGAAGACACGTATCAGGATAGGCTGAAGGTAGCTGAGCATGACTGCAACGGCTGCAGAGGATAGAATCGCATTGAACTGTGCGATGTGTTGGGCTCAGCACTGATAAGCGGAGATATCACATACCGCCACAACAGACCCAATGTACGCGCAGGAGATAATACATCCCAAAATTACTGATAGCCACACACCCCAATATGGCGCCTGAAAGCGATTTAGCCGCATGAAACGTTCTTTCATCGGGAATGCGTTGTCCCGGCTAAGCGCGTAGAATAGCCTCGAGCTTGCGGTGAATCCCGTCACGGCGGCCATGAACTGCGAGATCGCGATGACGGAGACGCACATGAGCGTCAGTCGCTGGCCGACTGCATCGTAGAAGAGCTGCGTGATAGGGAGTGCGTACGTCGTCTCCTGGACGCGTGCGATGCTCTGTACAGAAAAAAGCAGCGCGAGCATGTACGCGAGGCCGATGAGCCATGACCCTACGACGGATCCTACGACGGCGAGCGGGGCAAGGATTTCAGCGCGCTGTGCCTCTTCGGCCACCTGGGCAGCTGTCTCGCATCCCTCTAGAGAGTACACGGCCTACCGCGCCGAGTCAGAGTGGTACCGCATTGATACGGGGAAACGCCCACCTGAAGAAAGCCGAGCAGCACAACAAAGCCACGATTTCTCCAACCAGTATAACTGCTCCAGCCATGAGGGCGATTCAGCACAATTGATTTCGCACTGGGCTTACTTCTGGTAGTCAGTGAAAACGAAGTCTGCCGTATTCTATAGCATTCACGTATCAATTCTCGTTAACGGCGATCACTCGAAGGGGCGGCCACATTACCTTCACGGGTGCCTTGACCAGGAGTGTAATGACGAGCACAAATGTGCCACCTAACGTCCACCATACATTGAGAGAGCTCATCGCGCCGATGCCCTTGGTTCCGACGGTGTTGATGATTCCAGACGCGATGTTAACACCCCACGCTATTGCAGTGATCTCCACACGGGTGAGCGTACGATTCTGGCCAACTTCGGCAAGGCAAGCCAAATACAACGCAACGCTAGGCTGCGTCTCAGCCCCAAACCCGGAGTGGTATATAGTATTTGTACCTTAGGTTGCCGGATGTCCCTGAAATTACCAGAGCAATACTGTAAATCCAGCCAGTCTAAGCGAGCCAACAAGCTCTTTGGTCCAAGGGTCATTTTGGAATGTCATATGTACTCACGCAGACTGCCCGTTATGTCAGTGACATTGGCTGACGCCCATGAAGAAATTCACCTACAGCCTAGGACTGGAGTCTCTGGTTTCATCTTGCATACCCAGAAGTAAAGCCCTCCAATTGTAGGACTGCAGCAAGATAAGTTCATGATGATATGCTCACATACAAACAACGTGCTCACTATGCACTGCATATTTCTGCGAGCGCTAATGCTATCAGGAGCATAAAGAAGCTCACTGTCTATGATCCCGAGGCCAATTATTAAGTCTCACAAAGTCAAGGCAGGCTTCTGGAGGCGACTTACATTCCAGCCCCAGAACAAGCCCAATGGGCCGCCTGAGAATAACCCAGTTTGGAAGGCGCTGCTCATGCCGGTGAGAATTCCGATAGCACAGAACGAAATGCCCAGAACACCGAAGAATGACATGTCGCGACGGAACTCGCGCTTATATCCCAGCTCCTGCAAACGTTTGTCCGATGAATCGTGTTCGTCAACAGGTGAAAGCACGCTTTTCGCCAGGCTGGCGACCTCGACGTCGAGCTGCTTCTTCATGCTGGGCTAGTCGGTTGAGAGCAAGTCGGTCGATGGTAGCCGGTGGCTTATTTAAAGTACAGAGTTCGTGAGTGCCGATAAGAGTGTTGAAATTGATTATTTGGACATCGGCACCTGGATCACTGGGGTTCACGTCAAGCACGAGGTCACAAGCGAAGATAAACGCATGCTTCGCGATACGGTGCCAGCAACACATCGACTGCGCGATAGGTGAACATTACCTCCGCATCGACCTTCAAAATTTGTGGAATTTTCAACGTATCAGTCGGCGGCGCAAATCGTTAAGAGACCATAATCCCGCCTCGAGGTTAGCGGTCGCCTTATCGTATGAACGTCAGCGAGAAAGTTATGAGCAAGCGATTGATTTGCAAATGGATCAGAAGATCCTGTCAAGAGACCTACTTCGACTAAAGCGTAATCCACATGCTCGGATTCTGAAAACTGTTAAGAAGTTGAAGTGGGGAGATTTCGTGAGGCGGCAGCACCACTGACCACATATCCGCATTAGTAATATTTACAGGGTGATGCGCAAGCGGGCAAACCTTACATACTCTCAGGATTAGCGCCGGTAGAACGCGGTCACCTGATTTCAACATAGTTCGCGCTCGATTAGCGTCACGCAACGCCGCAACGTTAAGTTTTCATGAGCCGCTCTCATGAAACGCCTTATTTGACACCGTATGTGAGCCAGATATAGTCACAATATATGCAAACAACCAAGGTGAATCAGTTACTGGAATAACTACTGAAGATCTGAGGTATCATTTTGGTAAACAGTTTGTGGTGTTTATGACGCATTCCAAAATTGAACTGGAGATGGAGTAGTGAATCAATTCTGCTGGATTTATGGAACGCAGAAGCTTAGGATTGGGTTTCAGTTTGTTACTCCTCTCTCTTCTTCATATGTCTACCAGTAGAATGCTCGACGTCGCAGGTCGTTCGTAACATCATCTACCTGCGCTTCCAGCTGGTTGTCCGCTTCGCTGGCAGTTAGCCTCCTGGCTCGCACGCCTCAGTTCGACGTGATCCTTCGAAGCGCGTAACGCGATGACGGAGTCGTTATCTCAATCGCTATGTTCGGTATCGCTATCCGGTTCCGGGGGCGCTCACGAGAGCGCGGCGTCGTCGAGTATTTGTTGAACGCTCTTGGAGTTGGATCTCTGTAGCAGGCCGATAATATTGAGCGGGCGTGTATGGCCGCGTGTCTTGTTGTGTCCGGAACCTGGGAGTCTCCGAATCATCCCGCTCATGATAGGCTTGGTGAGGATTCTTCGATGTGGCTAGCCGTCTTCTCTGGGTGCTGCTTGCACCGCATCCAAGAACGCCTCGTGAGTGAGTATCCCCTGCTATGCGGCGGGCTTTGGCTGCGCATGGTCACAAGCTTGTGCAACAGGCGAGCGAGCGGCGCGTTGCCACGAATGGAGTGGGGCATCCTTGTTTAGCCATGCCATCCTCGGGGCGTTGGTAAGTGGGTGTAGTCCGTGTGTTTTGAGGATAAGCCGTCGAGGATGGGCGCCTCCGTTGAGCGGGTAAGTGGACAACGAGGTGCATTAGATTGTCCGAAGAAGAGAGTGGCACTTCTCCATCGAGCTTGCCATCGAGGTGTGATGGTGAGAAACGTGAAGATGGCGATGGTATCTCGGGTGGTGAATGGCGTGGTTGTTGGCACCACTGCATGTCGCCCCTGCGCAGGGGGCTCAGCATGGGAGGCACTGCTGAGGTGGATGAACGCGTACGCCAATCTCTGCATGAACAATCTCATGCACTCCAAGGGCTTATTTCCCCCGGCAGACTTCCTCAAGCATTGGCTGAGGAGGGTCCGCCATGGATGTGGATAGTCGACGATTGCATCAGGAAGAGGGAGGAGGGGAGCAGATCGGAACCCGCGCATCATGCCCGTGTACAGAACGTTCAAGGGGAGCGCAAAACCGGTATTGAGCGACTAAGGAGGAGGCGGGTGATGCTGTTCGTCGACGCAGCTGCGTTTTATATCTGGGGAAGCTCTGACCGTGCCACTCCATTACAGAAGCTGCGCTTTGCCCGCCTATTGTGACAATGCAAACAAAAGGCACGGAGGTCAAAGCGGCTGACAAAATAAAGTGGCATGGGCTTCCAAAGGCACAGTAAAAGAACCACCAGTGGCACCAGTGGCTAAAGTCTAATCTGGAATTTTCTTTTCACGAATATGATTAGCACGCCACCGCGCATGAACAGTTCAATAATACATCAACGTACAAGTTGCAGCCGATACGACCAGCAAATTATTCGGAAAGCTGTCATAAATGAAAAGTTTGTTTTGCGGCGGCATAATTAGAGCAGAATATTGTTCAAAATTCAGGAGAACTCTGCGTGAAAGACGTAGAGCTGACACCACCATCAAGGGAATTGCGACAGTGCAAGAGATCGCAAAGACTGAGAGCATCTGATTCTTTGCACGGCTGAAGGGGAGACAGCTCAGCGACCGACAAGTTCAGCAGGCGTGACACTGGTCTGTGTGTCTTCTGCCAGACACAACGGCTGGCATCTTAGGACGCCCTGCTCGAGATCAAAGAATCACTCCCGATGGATACCAAGAATATACATATGTACCCGTAATGCACGCATAGACGGGGCTGTTGCAATGGAGGCGCAAAGAATACAAGTCTACAAAGGAGATGTCGGAACCCCGCGAGACGCATGCGTGTCTACAATGTAGCGCTTGTATTCATGGATATCCTTTTTTGGCATGCGTTTTGATCACTCAGCACTCTTGACGCTCTGAAGTCTTCCACATCGTGGACTTCGGCTCCTTGTGCTGATCCTGCGTCTCATTGGTAATAATTGAGGAGTGTCCATCTACTGTCGAGTCGCTCCTGAGGCCTGAGGACCAAGAGGTTGCGTTCTCACATTGTCCTGTTGTCAAGTCATGCATCAAACTGGCACTTCACGAACCGTGTCTGAAGTAAGACGCGGTTTGAACCTCGCTGTACTGCGCTGCCGCCCTTGTATCGAGATCCACATCAGTAAGAGCCACAAATAACGTGAGTGGGTATGGGAGAACAGCGGAGGAGGGGACTAGTGGCAATGAGTTGCTAGGAGAGCACTGGTGAGTTTTGCTCTCTGTTTGCTCCTTAGCGTCCTTCTCGCCAGTCTTTCGTCCTCTTTCTCCATCATCTTCTTGATGAGCCTGTCTCCTCCTATGCGCATTCAAGACAAGCGTCGCCGCCTATCCTACCCTAGCGACCAGAAACAAAATGTTTCGGCGTTGCTCTGCAACCCCGGACATTCCGGGCGGTAACTGTCAAACTCTTCGGTGCAGTGAAGAAATGCACGGGGTTCTCATGTCGCGCGATGTGCGCCGGTAGGGTACTCATCCAGCGTTTTCGTGTTATCGGGCTCGGGCTCGCGTACACAGCAAGTTCTGTTATTACCGCTGCATCGACATTGCCCTCTGACTACCACAGCAACATCCGCCACTACCGCGTTTGCATCAATGAAGAGTGTTCCGGCATGTAGCAGCGGCTCAATGGGCTGGTCGCCATGGGATTGTGGTGTGTGCTGCATGATTTATCATGCCCTCCCGTTTGATAGGCTGAAACGTGCGCGCGGACTTGTTCCACTGAATCGCTGCGGTAGTTGGTTTACTCCTATTAATCTGGCACTTCCATAGTGCGTAGAGGCGTAAGGAGCCAAAGCAGCTTACCAAGAAGAGGAGGACCGTAACCACCACGTCGCTCCACATCGCTGCATTTGTCTCCCCACTCCTGATACATAAAGTGTGGGTCCGGAGACGTAGGATCAAAACAGTATCTACGATGGCATCCGCAGCGCATTGTTTTTCTCCGACGCAGTTCACATATTCTCATATTTCAATCAGTCGTTCATACGACATCCGCTCAAGCTCGCGTCGTGCGCTCTGGCTGACAGTACTGCACGATGCGAGTGGCCTTTCCCTCATCGAAGGAGCAACTATCATCAACATCTCATTTCCTATTCGGACTCGCTGAAACACGCGTGCAGGTACCGCAGACATTGTTCAAGGGATGTACGAGGTTGGCTCCGAGGCCCATGAACAAGACACAGGACCGCTCGTGCTACCTTTGAAGTGCGAAGAGGCTTGGGCTGTGTCCACTCGCACCCCACACATGAGAGCTCAAGAGGAATAATTGCTGGATGTATATCATCGCTGATGTGAACAGTAGCTCTAGTACGATATTGATCCCATCGCTTCCTATAATGGATTTTGTTACTCGCGACCTTGCTGAGCACACTCAACCTACTGGTAATCCATCACTTATGGTTCCCAGTACATGCTTCTCAGTGCGTTCACCTTTACTGATACTGTCTACGGGAGTTTTAGGTTGAGAGTTGCGCCCTCATCCGTGTGATCACGGAATGTAATGAGCAAACGGACTGCAGACTCGCAATATAGCAGGGAGCTCACACGCCATCCAACCTAGCGCAATTGACGCGATGGCTACGTCAGTTGTGTAAACATGCATCAACGTCTGTGAGCAGCGACGTCTCGTCTTTTCAGCACGCTGGAAGCATTGTATCTGATACGTGCTCCGCCTAAAACAACAAGGGCCTTGAGCACAGGGAGTACACTTTACCCGGTGAGCCGGGCCGGTTGTTGTACTGGGCCACAGTCACTCAAACAGCTGTTCGCCATATGAATGCCTCGTCGACATGGGGTCAGTCCTCCCTCATCTCTTGTAACTCCCTCTTCGTATTCTCCTGTTTTCCGTCTCATCTGGCCGGCACTCTATTCTCTTGCAAACATGTTGAAGCTGAACCAAGATATCTTGCGCCTTGTCGTGTCTTACCTATCGATGGAGGATGCGCGTTCTCTCTCGGCCACTTCGCGCTATCTGCATCCAGAGGCAAGGGCTCGAGCACTTGCGAAGGTCAGAATCAAAACCCCTAAAACTTTCGATGCGGCCTGCAAATTCTACCTCGCGGAACACTCGGATCGAATCCATCATTTACGCACGCTTGATGTGCAGCTGGACGACTCATACATCACGCGCCACGCATCCAGAAAACTCGCAGATCTCCTAGATCATGCTTGCAACCTGCGCACTTTTATGCTTGACTGCGCGGAGCAGTGGATACTGGCGCAGCCGCGCATTGAAGCTGTTCTCCAGAGGCTTCAGGCAATTCATGCAATGGGTCTCTTGTTGGCCGGATGGCGTGCTCTGCGAACAATCCGGGGTATGCAGGGCAAGCTCCGGAACATAGAACTCATGTCCTTGGTCTTCCCGCTGACCACGGAGGAGAACGAACCACATGCAAGTTCCGCAGCTATGCTTGAAGCCCTCGCACCACACGCATCAGCACGCAGTATCGCGCTCGTCGTTCAGGATCAGGCTACCTCTCCACCAGATGTGCAGTTGCAACAGGTACTCGAGCTCAGGCTCGGAAACGCTTCTGCAGCTGCGCCTTCTCTTGATGTGCTAGCACACGTGTTTCCTGCGCTACGCATATTGTTTTTGGATGGCCCGAGCATGACGATCGACAAACCTGCAGACAATATTGAATGCTGGGAGTGTCTCGACTACGTGAGTGGAACCTTCCCCGCACTACGTGCGTGGGCTCCCAAGTGCCGCGTTCACCACTTGGAGATAAGAGACGCAGAGTGGGAGGGCAGGATCCTGGCCAAAAACGAGCGAGTATCGGATGTTTCTCGTGTCATAAATGGCACCTCGCCCGTCGCGTTGACTATCTACAGGTTCATGGCAGCGATGTACTTTGGATTGACCTACGCGGACTGGGTGGGCTTCCTGTACAATATGCCACGGCTACGGGTGCTTGCTGTGGACCTATCCACCGGTCCCTCGTGGTCTAAGACGTGGATCGTGAGCCTTAATATTGATTTAAAGCGTCCATTCGCGCTTACCCTGGTGTTTAGGCATGCACAACTGGAGCACTGATAGGCTTCAAAGTAATCTGCATTATGCTCAGCGTGGATGAGCGCGTCAAAATGCCTCCGGCTATCCTAGCTTCAATTCCATCACTGAAGTTTGTCGCGCTGAATTTCGGAGGTGGTCCGCTGCCAACGTTCAGCGCACACTCAGGAGGATTCAATCCATATCCTGCGCTGAGCTGGTGGAGAGTGGTCTGTGATCACGGTGAACGTCAGCTGCAGGCTATGTCCGCAGATCTCGGATCCCGGATTGCAGCGTATCTATATTCTCCCAATTATAACCATGAGGCGCCCATCGATGGTAAATGCTTTTATGCACGTTGAAGCACTACGGCAGCTGACTACTGAATTTGGATAGAGTCGATGTTCTTGCCAAAGATGCTGGAGGAGTACAAGCCTGGCCGAGTTACAGTCGCGCAGGCATTGTGAGCTGGAGACATCACAATAGGAGCAGTGTACGTCTCCCATGAGGACACGGTATGTATGTCACATTTTGTTGTATGTTGCAAGTAGTCGACCTGATAACATAGAGTGGAGGCCGGTCATATACAGATTCCGTGTGTGCGTATGTCCTGATAAACTACGCGGCAGGCTGACGCATTACCACAACAAAGGGGTCATCTTGTGTGAGTACTCACAAAAAAGACATATTATCCGACATTCTCGTCTTCACGAGAAACCCTTGTATGCCGTGTTGCCGTGATAGCCCCTTGTTCCGCAGTCCGATCGTGCATTTCGAATTGATTGTCAACGTCGTATTCGACACGATAGCACAATTGGATCCGTCTTACCACTCATTGCGTAGCACACTTTCCTCGTCCTGTTGTATTACGATGTATCTCAATATCATGCGATGTCGTGTTTGTCGGTCATCCGATGATTGTGCTCAACCTCGATGTGATAAGTTCCAGATATAAAAGTATATCATGACACTGTAAGGAGACAACATCAAAGCCAGAGCCAACCTCTATGTGTCCGTGCCCAATTCCGCCTCAGTTAACGCCCCCACGGTGTCCTCGAACATTTGGTCGGACATGCTACTCACGGCGTCCACATCGGCTTTGCACTCGTAGGCCCACTGCTTCAAAGTGGTCATTTTGTCAACACGTGCTGCGACGGCCATCTGCATCTTGTGTATCTCGAGTGAAATTGTTGCGACGCGATATTGAGCTGCGAGGAGAACTTCGGATGCGTGCAGCTCCTGGTCAAGGATATAGTCGACTTCGTCGCAAAGCATCTTGACGTAGGCGGTCGAAAGCCGACCCTTTCGACGTGCGAACGTAAGTAAGACAAGCGGGTCGTTTAGCGCCCGCAGCTCGGTGTCGGGGATATGGTCCGGCACGGGTTCACTGTTCGAGTCGTTCCCCTCCTCTTGTGGCATGAAGTCGTCGTCAGAGTGGAGGTGCTTTTCTTCTACTTTTCTCTCCTCGCTCCCCTCGCCCATGTCCTCGTCTTCGGAATTGCCAGCTTGCGCGGCGGCAACAGAGTCAGCGCCTGGAGTCACATCTTCCATGCTATGGCCCTGATCCCCGTCATTTCTCTCGCTCTCTTTGGAGAAGGTCATGTTCACATCCGCGTTGCTGTCGTCATCATCGAGCTCATCCTGGCCATTGGCTTCCTCGGCAGACCCGCCTCGCTGCAGGAGCTGCCACACCTCCGGATTCGACCCTACCGACGTCCCCTGTCATCATGCCGTCAGCTCAATATGACTATCATTGACTTGTACTCACACTTGAGCGCGTCCCTCCCTCCATCTTTGGCGGACACTCCTCGGACTTGCTCCATCGACTTGCACTGGAGTTCCCGCGAGCACGTTTTGCTGCCACGGCCTCCACCTCATCATCGTCCTCACGTCGTCGCCTCTCTCCGCCCTTTGCAACCTTATTGTCATCAATTGCTCGCCTGTCGAAGTGTCGGCCCGCTGAGGGACTGTTGGGCTGACTCTGTATTCTCAGCACATGGCCCTGCCATCAACACGATGAGGCGTTTTCGCACTTACCAAAACCGATGCCGGTGTTGGCAGCGCATGTCCAGCCACGTCCTCTGGCTGCGATGCCCGGAGGTGCGCTTACGTTGCCCATGTCAGAGATGTTCCACATTAGCCACTGCATACTTACTTACCCTCCGCCCGTGCCAATGTAGTGTTCACCCTGCCACGCAGGCGGACACAGTCCTTTAGGGTGTCATCGGGGATAGACTCGAGGAACACCTGTTCCATAACATTGTCAGTGTCGAGTAACAGCGCACGCATAACTCACTTTGCATTTTCGAAGCCTTGTGATGGTATGTGGTAAGTCTCCCGCCGATCCGTTGCAAATATTGTCCGTGTCTGCTATCCTGTCCCGAATATGAAAAACGACCAGTGCGTGATCCGTACGCGGTATGGTGTCTTGTATAATGTAGCGTTGTAGCAGGTCGTCGTCTGCCTGGTCGACTGTGGCCTTGTCGCCTGGGTTCATTGCAGTTTGTGGCAAGGTGAATGTGATGTGATCAATCCGCGGAGCACGCGCGCTCGCATGATTCGGCTAGCTCCGGCAAATCTTTTCCGAGTTTTATCTGCGCTCACGCTTTCGGTTATCGATCATCACCCTGGATATCGTACAACAACCTTCGTCCGGAGAGCTTGGCCGAAAAATTAAATAAAATTCTACTCGATGAGTCGTTTTGGGGTGATATGGAGAAACATTCATATCTACTCTATTTTACCCCACCAGAACTCAAGCTTTGGCTGTATGCATCGCACGGAGAATACATGCACGTCGGGGAGCTCAGGGCAAAGCTCGAAGGTCTCCTGTTAGCCCTACAACGGACTGTCCTTGTATCAAGCACTGACTTTAGTCCTCATAGCAAACAAGGCTTCTGACATTTCGTGAGTTGCCCAAATCAATGCTATGGCAACGCTAACCCTGAAACATTTGTCTTTCTGTTCTATTCCTTGTACTACTAGCACCCATACGGATGCCTGTCTTAGTGCTCACCTGCAGGTTAAACATTATGTAGCTTACATAATGGGGTCTGTGTGCACCTCATACCCAGTATTGTAGCACTACTGTCACGAGTTGATATGGTGTCTAGCCATTTTTTAATTTTTTCCTTTTCACGGGCTCGAACCTGCAACCTCTGTACCATATGCTCGAACGGACAAGTCGTTATCTACCCTGTATGATTAGATTAGATGGGGCGGTGATAGGCGCCAAGCCCCGCTGGGCCCCGATACACCTCTTTTCGGCAGTCGCATCCCGCCCGGCACTTCGACTCAGTCTCCCAACAGTTCGATTTCGCCTTCGACGCTCTTCAACATCTTCGACGGTGCGCGACGCTTACTCGAAGCTCGGCACGGTCGTCCCGATGCCTCACGTGTAGATCCCGGGACATCTTCCGCATTCGGCGAACAATAGGGCCACTTGACGCCGCTCGGCCAAGCGCACGCTTCGCTCCAAGCCACACCGAAGTAGCCGGTCTTTCCCGATTAGGTATCGAACCTCGCGGCATGCCTTCACGACAGCTACCGGTCCGAAGTGGCCATATGTTGCTCTTCATCTCCGCGTTCGGCATGACATCACTCTACCTATGGACTTGGTGTGTGCCCCTTGGTGAGGCAGCTTCTTGAGGAACAATGCAAAGCCCCTTGTACCAGTGTGCCACTTTTATAGTCGTAGCATCCTGTGTGGTATAAAATCTGTCGTACTTCTCTCTAAAAATACAAGATCCGGTTCCCCCTCGAGTTCAGAGCTCATAAGTCGAGTTTGCCCCGCGTCTAAGCCTTCAACTGCGTCACTTCGTCCCTTGCTGCGTAACCTCGAAACCTCGTCCACTGCGTTTACTCGTCGATACCGTCTCGACGAACCCTTCGACTTCGACTACTGTCGAAGAGACTGCAAACCGCGCCCTAGCTAAGTCCACCCTATCGAATTGTGTCCTTTCCTTCTACGATACATCGAAGAGCTCTGCCGAGCTTTGATCGTCTCCGCTAACCACCCACAGCCTCCGAGTAGCTTCGACGACGTGTCGAAGCCATCTTGTACCTTCCCCGTTGTTCGTAGCATTTTCCAAGGACGTTTCTCGTGTTCACTCAAACTGTGGGACACCTTGCTGCTAACTCCCCTCTCATTAGACTATAATCCGTCTCTCTAGTCCCTTTAGGTCGCACCCAGGTTAGGGGTTAGGGTTTTGTAGGTTGTATTAGCGGCAGTGCATGGCATAGCTTGGGCTCCGCTGACACAGCCGCTCTGACTCACCGGCCCCCAGGGCTGCGTCAGCATGCTGTGCACGGACCAGATGCACACGGACCAGTGCGTGCAGCCTCCCCTAAACTTCTCCTGTATATAAACTGGCCTCTGCTGCCCTAGGGACCTTAGTTTCGACCTCTTGTCCCTAGGTCAGTAAGCTCCCTTGTATTCTTACTTACCTTACACTAACTGATACATTCCTTGTCCCTAGCCTTAGGTTTGAGCATTGCTCACCATCGCTTCAGTGAGAATCAGTCGAACGCCCCCAGCATTTGTATTTTCTCCTGTCACTTGACCCCAAGTTGCAACATTAGGTTGAAACTCTCAACGCTGCCGGCGTTCCAGAAACCCACTCACTCACCTCCCTCTCCCATAGGTCGGGTGGTGCGCACAGCCCTCCCTGGGGCCGCGGTTGCAAGGACCTTCCAAGACCGAGCCCCATGACACTCCGCCGCATTCTTGGGCCAGCTCCTCATCAGCAGTCACCTCCACAACTCCAGTCCCTGTCGTACGTAACCCCGCCTCCGGGCTTCCTCCAGCGCCTCCACCGTCGTCACCGCTGCGAGGCCGCTCGCGCACTCATTCCCCCCAAAGTCCGACCAGTGGAAGGACACAATCACCGTCTCCGTCCCCGAGCCATTCTCCGTCCCCCCCACCGCCGATAATGTCCTCTCCTGCAGCTCCTGATAAGGAGACCTTGAAGCTCCTCCTCCCACTCCACTATGATGGGAAGTCAGTGGTTGAGTGCAACCGCTTCATATCGCAGTTGCTGATCTACTGGACAATCAACACGGCCCTCTCCACCATCGAGTTGAAAGTCCAGGTTGCCCTCAGTCTCCTCGATGGCGATGCTCGAGCCTGGGCCACCCCAATCTTTGCCCAACTGGTGGCTGTCCAAGTTCAGATCCAGGGAGCAACGACACCCTTTGCAAACGAAATGGCCTTCCTCACCGCATTCAAATCCCGTTTTGGTAATCTCGATGACGCCGCTGTAGCACAAGTAGAGCTCACCAAGCTCTGCGCTGACAAGTCCCTGCGTGAAAAATGCACCGCCGCGGAATTCTCCGCACTATTCAAGGGTCCGGCAGACCGATCCGGGTATGGTGACCTGGAACTCCGCGACAAGTACCTTAGCGGTATCCCCTCCCGCGTCTACCACAAAATCGAGCTCGAAGTATTTGCCATGTGGCAAGACACCGACAAGCACACCAACGAGGTCAAACAAATCCTCGACATCAGCCGGGCGCGACGGCCCGAGTTGAATAACTTCTTCTCGGTATGAGGTCGAGGATGCGGAGGGGCACGTGGTGGTGCACCCCGATCACAAGGAGCTTCGGCCAGCATCAATGCGGCCGTCAGAAAAGGCAACTTCCCAGGCAGTTGCTATGGCTGCGGGAAGCAAGGGTACTGACGTTTCGAGTGCCCCAATTGTAAGGACAAGCTGTCACGACTTAGGGTCGAGCGACAGGGGAAAACCAAATGCTGGGGGCGTTCGACTTATCTTACCGAAGCGATGGTGAGCTAGGCTCAAACCTAAGGCTAGGGACAAGTTAATATATTAGTTAGTTAGGTAAGAAAAAGATACAAGGGATGCTTACTGACCTAGGGACAAGAGGTCAAAACTGAGGTCCCTAGGGCAGCAGAGGCCGGCTTATATACATGGGGAGATAAGGGCAGGCTGTGCACATTGGTCTGTGCGCAGCTGGTCCGTGCGCAGCATGCCGATGCGGCCCCAGGGGCCGGTGAGTCAGAGCGGCTGTGTCAGCGGAGCCCGAGCTGTGCCGTGCACTGCTGTCCTATCTAATCTAATCGTACGGTAGATAACGACACGTCCATATCGGGCATATAGTACAGAGGTCGCAGGATCGAGCCCACGAAAAGGAAAAAATGAGAAAACGGCTAGACGCCATACCAACTCATGACATTACCCCCCCCTCAATGGTGCATGACCTCATGCGAGGTGCCCTTGCCCATCTCCCACCCGGAGCAGCAGCGTGCTTCAGTCATCAGCGAAGGCATTGGCTGGAAGTTGAGACCACTAAAGATAGCAGCATTGAGGCGGCGAGGGGCATTCGGATTCTTCCGGTAGAAGTCAGCTATGAGGGCCGGTGCATTCGCAACATTGCGCGCCGGTTCCCACGACGTATGCGAGTTGTCATAACCCTTCCACTTGACGAGGTACTGCAGCTGACGCCGGAAGATCCTCGAATCCTTGATCCGCTCAACCTCGTACTCCTCGTCGCCCTCAACCTCAATTGCAGGCGGCTCCTCCAGCTCCCGGCCCGGGATATCGCTACGCGTGTACTTGCTAAGTAAGGAGACATGGAATACCGGGTGCACCGGCACCGATTTCGGCAGGACTAATTCATAATCCAGGTCTCCGAGCTTTTGCCGCATGGCATATGGTCCAAGGCGCTTGGGACTGAGCTTCTTGCTCGGCTGTTTCAGCT